TGTAACTTTATCATTATTGATATTCAATTAAATACTTAATAATTTTTCTTAAAACTTAAATATTCCTATCTATACTACATGTTCATTTAATGTAAGATGTTCAAAATGAAAAATATTTGTCGTTTTTCTTTCAATACATTGTAACAAGATGAAATAAGTAATTTAATTATATAAGTAATAAATAACTGATCAACTTCTATCAACATATAGAAATAAGTATTTAAATAATGTTAAACAGTCATGCAATTATTCTGTCGAAAGGCAAAAAAAAAACAGATAATTTGTTAATGTTGTTCAATGAATGACATAAAAAATGATAAATGTTTATTAGATTGACGTTATGAGTAGCAGAAAAACTAATCAGAAAGGTAAAAACTTTATATTCAAAAATCGACATAAGTCATTGTCTAAAATAAATTCTTTATATTCTTGATTAAAAAATCACTTTAATGATTGAAATGTTTTATTGAACATGTAAAGAAAGGTCTGTTTTTGATTAAGAAATAAATAATTCATTTCATTTTCTTATTGTCATTGTCTATGATTATTTATATAGAAAATCTAAAAAAAACAAACAACAAAAGAAAAATTAAGACTAAAATTGTTTAGTTTCGTTTTTTTTTGTGATTTTATACTTAATTATAAAATATGATTTTAATTTTGAATTTTTTTTGTAAAAGACTACTCAATGGTAATAAAATTTAATTTTAATAATTTTCTTTTGAATTCAAAATAAATATATTGTCTGAGAAAAGAACAAAAATCTATTCTTCGATAAGAACACGTAAAAAATAAAGTTTTGTTTATCGTCGGTTATTCCCACATAGATATATGGATTTGTTATGTTTATGTAAAAATAAAAGAAGATAATAAAAATAGAGTACAACATTTCAACAAATAAGAAATAAATTTGATTATTAATTTCTTTTATTTGTTATAAAAAAAAAATAACTATATAATATTTGTCTGTAAACTAGCGACATCATTCAGTAAATCGATTTTTGCAATATTACTATTCTTCTTAAATGATTATCTAGATAATAACGATTTAAAAATATTCAAAAAAAAAAAGAAATTCATTTAATTAAGAGTTTCAGAGCTTTTTTTAAATCATATAATCCTATCACAAATCTTTTTATAAAAAGTAAGCTCTTTAATTAATATCAGTATACATTTGTGCTCTAGGATCTTGAGAGAAATTCATGCAATATAGTGTCAATGATAGTAATTATCAAATTTTTATTTCTTCTGGTGATGGGGTGGCACCCGCAATGGCGAACCAACATCAAAATTTTTGATGTGGCAATTACTGAAAAAAATTGTTTTGCTGATTGATTTTTATCCAGTTATCGGTTATTTCCAATATTTTTGGTGTGGCAACTGCCACGCTGGCAGTTCGCCACTGGACGCCCGATCTAACTCCAACAGGATTATATCGCTATGTATACATGAAAAGTCCGTAACCAACCACCATATAAAGCACTACGGCTGGTAATTTGAAGAACTTTGAAGTTATATATCGTAATATATATCGAACATATAATAATCCGTGATATCAGAACTTTAGCAGTATTTGTAGTTTCATCGGACGACAACAGTTCTGCATTTGTATGCTATTTTACAGAACTCCGATTGACGTCATGGAACTCTGAAGGACTTTCAATGTAAGGATATTCTATATTCTTTTATACTTTCAAAACTAAACTCGCCTATTTCTCCCCGAATATATATTCATAATGGTAGAATGTTATGATATTAGAGAGTATAAAGGAAACAAGAGAATACTCTTTTAGATAGCTTAGTTAAATATAGAAGATCATACAAGCTATAATCTTTGTAAAAGTTCAAACGAATATACATGTATATATCTGACAAAGTTGAGATTTATGCACAAATTAAACGAAGCTTAGTTAGAGACATCCACGTCTTACTGTATTCAAAGTTTGGTATCATCCGCCACGAAATGGCTTTGGGCAAGTCATAAACGGTTATTCCTCTTCGATCATCCGTCCTATACCATACTGGCTATATGATAGTATAAACCTGCTCTTGCAGTTAGTGTGTATGAGAAGCCATTTTGAGCTATGAAATCTAACATAAAGTAGACGAAAGACAGATGTATTATTCTTTCGTAAACAGAATTTTTAAGAGATCTAAAAAATCAAAAATCATGAAATGTATATAATGCTGTTAAGTTTTGTTAAGATATTTTTTGACTCAGGAAAAAACAAAAGATATATTAACATATGTAGTTTCTACAGTAGCATAGTAACTGCCTTCTTGTGGAATTGTCTATTCCAAAAATTTAAAAATATTACATCACTTGTTCATGAAGATACTTTAGAAAATCATTTTTCGATATCAATACTGGAGAAGTCATTGGTGCATACATAAATGAAAATGAATACTCTATCTAATAAGAGAAAAATCATGTAGGTACTCAAAGAATATTATTTCGTAGTTCTGTGTTCAATTAAAAATGAATCATGTACCTATGATATATAAGTTTTCTATCACCAACGAATTTATTATTATCATTATATGAAATGCATTGATCATATCATAGCAGAAATTACAAATTCCAATAAAATTTAATTATCATATCGAAACCTTTGATTTTGTTTCTAATTTATCTTATGTAATTGCAAGAAAATAAAAACAACTAAGACAACATTCTCTTTTTTGATAGATTTTTCAACTTGATTTTTTTAACTAATGATATTCTTTGTTTAAAATAATTCAATTCCATTTATCAATGATCATTTGAATTATATCATCGATTCATCTAACATACGTATATATAATATCTAAAGTCAACTTTTATATAACAATAGAACATTGAGAATATCTGACAAATTAAAAAATCAACGTTGACTTGGCACAAACAAAAATCAGGCGTCATCATTTTGCGTTTGAATTATTACCTCATTGCAGGTTTCAGGTTTCAGATTTCGTTTACATCAAATATATCTATATATCTATATATACATATAATCAATGCGGATCGACTTTCCACAAAAAAAAAGAAGGTAAAACTTCAAGTTAAAATTATTGGTCAAAAAAAAAAGAAGAAGAAAACGAAATAATGAGACAGATTTCAATTTTATTTTTTTTTTATTCACACGATCTAACTAATCCTTTATACTCGATTGATTGGTAAATGACAGCAGATCGATGCAGAACAATAGACTAGCTAACAGACCATAATGTGTCTCTTATTACCACAATGAAAGCACGAATCAATCAAATAGAAACACGTTCGCCGCCGTCACCATCATGATTGTTTACTTCTAAATACACATATTCACTCACTAGTCGCCTGTCATCCGACTAATAGTTCATAGTGATTGTGCTCGTGGTAATGTTTGCTTACTGTTAATCGATACCCACCTTCTTCTTCTTCTTCTTCTAGTCTGTCTATAGAATGATGATCATTTAGATTTAAATATACATACGTGTGTTCAATGATGATGAATATGTTATCATTAAAATTTAAATCTATATCGTTTTATACATAGACACTCTTCAAATGTTTCGATATATATAAGATGATTTTCTTTGCTGATGATAACTTACCGCTCTTTACCTACTGCATATGTACTCACGCTCTTTTGAAAAGTATATCAAGAAGAGGTAGAGAGAGAGAGAGAGAGCAAAAAAAAAGACTTATGAATTGCAACTCAATAGAGTGTTTTTCAAACATATGTGATATTTATATAGATTACAAACAAGCAGGGATGTCGCGAAAAGAAAAAAGTGAAGGGGGAAAGGTGCAAGGAAATTTTTTGAGAACTGAAAAAGTGTGTGAATACTGAACTTTCTTTTTTCATTTTATAATCATTTGTTTTTAATAAAAAAAATACAATTTTGACAAAATGCGAGTACATCTCTACAAACAGAAAATCACTTTCGACAATGATGGATCTAGAAATTTAGTGAATGGGAACGATTCTAGTCACAAAAACTGCTTTCAAATCAAATTATAAGTCATATTGTCTTATTTTCAACTGAGAAAAATCGAGAAATAGTTTAGAACAAAAGTAACGATCACTCGTAGTATCCTCTATGTAAACTCGTCAAACTCTTGTTTCTTTCTCTGGACATCCTTGATTATAAATAACTGATCAGAATTATTTTTCTATGAATAACTTTCATTAAATCAAAAAAAAAGAAAAGAAATAATAAAACGTTTTTTTTTTTGTTGATCTTTCTCCGAAATATGTAATACATATATAGATCAATTTACATATCTATTTATTTATAATCTCAAAAGAAAAAAATACCTATAAAAAATATTTATTTTTATTGCAATAGAAAAGAAATCTATCAAAAAAAAAAGGAAAATTTTTTTCAATTATAAGAAAAAATTGACATATTCTTTCGAAAATTTATTTTAATAACATATTCTATATAGATCTCTTGTCATTTCGCACATACTTCTACTTCACTCATTCGTTCGTCCTTCTATATCATATATATATATAAAGATGATTATATCCAATCGGAAATTTTTTTTTTTCTCTCTTTCTCTTACATTTCTATTCATTCAATCAAATTTAAGCTTGAACTCTTCTCAACAAGTATCAATGTCCTCTTACTAATGCATTATGCTTCTCTCTTCTCTTCTCTTCTCATCATCACCTTTCTCTATTACGAGGCAAATAAAACATTTTATTCTCTCTCATTCACTCTTTACATCCCAAATACAACGACATCAGTGTGCGTAAATCGAGAGCAAACATCTCTCTATTATATACACCGATACACACAAAAGCTTTCTCGTACTCGTATTGGCCTATTCATTTGTTGCACACACATACACACACACACACACACACATATATATATACACCTTTTCAACAACAACGACAATTCTTTTACGAGATATTATCTCAACTTCTTCTTTTTCATTTTCTTTTTTTACTGTTACTGCCTATTTTCATTATTATATATTATATATCAAACGTACGCTTGAATAAGATAAGACATACGACGAGACAATGAATTGCTCTGTGTATACACCATCTTTTTTATCATATAAAAATTCTCATTCACATCAATTATCATCATTTCGTATTGATGATATATTAAAAACACCAACATCATCATCATCATCATCATCATCATCATCAATATCACCAACATTTATTGATCCTACAACACTTTGGTCATCATTTGCTTCACAAATTTTAGCTTATTCACCTGAACTCTTATCAATTTCAACAACAACAACATCACCATCAAATGATATTTCACAAACAATACCAAATTTAATTTCACCACAAAAACATTTACATCATAGACATCAATATCATCCATATTTATCTGTATCTCGACATTCTCCAACAACAAAACTTCAACATGATACAACAAATAAAAATAATTATCAACATACACTTTCACCATTATCAATTAAAGACAAAATACAACATCAACATATTGACCGGAATGGTATGTTCAAATATAGATAAACTTCTCTCTTCTCAAAAAAAAAAACAAAATAAAAGGAAATGAACACATATGTTAAATTTTATCAAATAATGATTTCGGAAATGATGTTCATTGGTTAGAAATTTTTTTTTTCTTCTTTTTAACATTTCAAGGTTATTGTCCTTAATTTTGTTTATGAGAAAGAATAATCAATATATCATATTCACTCACTATCTTCTCTCGACATACATATATATATATATATTTGATAAAAATATAATTATGATGCTCTTGAACTTGCCATTCAATTCTCTCTTACTTTCGTAGTGTTGTTATTGTATGAAGAGTGATAAAAAAAAAAAAAGTAATATAACAACTAATGATCTATAAACAAGTTTACTGATATGTACTTTTCTCTTCTAAAATATAAATTTCATAGACGAGAAAAATCAATAGTATATGAGCTGATCATCATAGTGATGTTAGAAAAAAAAAAATTTTGATAATCCATTGAACAAGTGATGTGAGTGTTAAGTGCTTATCGACTTAATTCGTGTTAAAGGATAAATAATAAAAGTTTATTTTATTTTCTGTAAATAAAGATTGTCTATCATCAATGATTCCACCACCACCATCATCTCATCATCATCAAGTACAACCACCAACAGCAGCATATTGGCCATATTTATATACACGTTGTAATCCTTCGTTAACAACAACAACAACAACAAATGTTTCACGACGTAAAGGTGGTCAAATACGTTTTTCAGCTGAACAAAGTTTACAATTAGAAAAAAAATTTGAAATAAGTCAATATTTATCACCTGTTGAACGTAAACAAATTGCTAAAACACTTCATTTAAGTGAAAGACAAGTGAGAATTTTTTTTTTTTGTTTTTTTATTGAAATTATTTTTTTTTAAATTATAGATTAAAACATGGTTTCAAAATCGACGAGCTAAACATCGTCGATCAGCTGCAACAGTAACGAAAAAAGTATAAGAATTTATTTATTTTTTTTTTTTGTATTACATATATATTTAGGATATTGATAAATCATGTTCATCACCACAACAAAGTGATGAAGAAGACGATGATGATGATATTGATGTAGAAGATAATGTTGATGAAGAACATGCAACATCATCGAATTCAAATTAAAATTTTCTTTATTTTTACGTTCCAATGTATTGAACACCAATCTTTCCTTTTCTTTTGTTTTTTTTTTCTTCTTTCGAATATAGATAATAAAAAAAAAAAACTGAATTGAATTTTTTATGTACAAACAAAAAACTCATAATGAGACTTTTCAACCAATAGTTATACGTTTTCTAGTATATTTGTCATATTATGTGATATATGCATTTATTCTGAAATGAATTCATATACATAGATAATACGTTATTATTGTAAAGAGTAGCCGATGGTTCCTTTATTAAGTTGAACTTTACTATTCATATGAATCTGAGTGTAGTGGAATATTTTTTTCGAACGAGTGATGCTTCTTGATCTTGAAAAATTTTCATTTTTTTCCCAGCAAAGTTCCAAATTTTTTTTTTATTGTTTTTACGCTTATTGGTTCCTAAGAAAAAAAAAAGCTAAACTCTACTGAAAGCTGATCATATTTAGCAAAAATTTTTCAATCGGTCTCATACAATTTGGTCTTGCACGTCTCTATTCGTGAGTCATCAAGCCTTTTCCAGGTGTTTCGGTCTCGAGGTACTGTACCGGAGCAAAGAACCGGCATACTAATATTTACATTTACTTTCTATAATAAAATTTACTATGTGCGATTCATAATTGTTGTTGTTATTTGCTTTTGAAATTTGTTGAATTTTAAAAAGATAGTATTTGGAAATATATAATGTAATTTTAAGTTTTTGTTGTCAAATGGATTTTCTTATAAATTTTATTCGTTTAACTCCTTCGAACACTATAATAGGTTAACATCGTTTTTTTTTCACTTATATTAAGAACAAATCTTTAACTTGATTTCATCGCATATAGTCTGTGTAAATAACATAATGTGATAAATTAACATGATGTCTTTTACACATATGTAAACAAATTCATAAGACTTTTCATTTCACACTTACACTTATTTTCATATAATCTTTTGTTATGAGTAACAGGAACATAAGATATAATGTAATGTGTGAGTACACTTTTCTTTCTTAAGTACACACTAGAGATAGAAGCTTACTATTTACAAACATATTTTTTTTATTATATCCAGTAGATGTTTGTATTAAAACATAAAGAATGAGAAGAACAAAAAAAAAAAGAAAGAAAGATTTATTTATTGTTGAAGTGACATTTTATTTATGCATATCAGTAGTACTAGTCTAGAATTCTTTATTATGATATTCGTATATGATATTGATTATTTCATGCTTATCAAGTTATTTATTATAATTTTATTATTTTAAATTATTCATGATAAAATATAAACAAAAGCAATTTAATATTGTAGGTATCGATTAAAACAAAGAACTTTTCATTTTTGTTATTTTTTTCATATAATGAATGATAAATATTGTTTTATACTTAATTTACAAAAGAATGTCTCAGAAATGTCGAATTAGTTTGTGATCGAAATTATATTCAGACGATAGACTATGATGAAGAATCTGAAGGCTCGAGATAGCTTAGTAATCTGTATCGTTGTTCTTGAGATATTGAATTTTTTGACCGAACTTTATGGTCTCTTTCAAGTTACTATGGAAATAGAGTTTCGATTTAAAACTTTGAACAAATGAATTTTTCAATAATATTAGTTCACTGTAATGATATCAATGGTTTTCATGCTTAACATCCGAAAATATCAACATACGAAGAAAGTTTTCATCATTCATATCTCAATGTAGGACATACAAAAATGAGTAGAACTTTCTCAATGAATTGTTTGACACATAGGAACATTCTTTTGTGAGTATATTAATGAAATGAAACTTTATTCTAGTACTAGACAAAAGCATAATAGTGTATTATGACACATCTTTCAATAGATTTTACTATGATCAGTAAAACCTTCAAACTAATCGATATTATCGAACATTGAATGGTCTAAAAGACATTTAGAACATCCTCTTTCTCCAAATTTCTAACGAATGGTTTGACTAAAAGTTTTGAAACTATCGGCGTAGTTAAATATTAACTAGTAGAGCAAAATTTGTCATTGAGGCAGAAGTCCCAAATGCTTCCTCCTATGAGACATAGGAAACACAAGGATCAAAAATGATCTGAAGTTTTCTCTCAACCGCAAACAGTCAGGTTTTTTGTAACAACTATGACCAGTTTGGATGTATACTGTGTTGATTTTAGTTGTTACGCAAAAAGTTCAAAAATTGATTATTGAGAAAAACGCGAAACAATGTATAGTTTTCGCTAATTAGATTTTACGAATTTTTCCATGTGTTGAATGCCAAAACGACATTACGTCAGATTATAGAATAGCCAGAAAAAAATTTGTTATTTACAGGAAAATTTCTTATTACGATAATGTCAATCAGATATTAGTCTATTAGTTTGTTTTATTTTTTTGAAATGTTTTCCTTATCGTTGGCTTTTATTAATTAATGAATAAGTTAAAAAAAAGAGATTTATTTGTTGATATTCAAAACAATATATAAATTGATTAAACAAATATAGTAAAAAAAAATCGTTTTATATCCATTGTTAGTCGATAGAATAAAAAATTATACATGTATACATATATATAAATAAACAAGTTCAAAATAGTAATAAGTTCTATGTTACGATTAATGTTCCTTTTTGAGCACGATTACTAAAATTATTATTTCTTGTACACATCATATGATATGTACCTGGTTTGACTTGTAAAAGTGCACCTAAAATAAACTAATAGATGAGAAACAAAAATAAAAAGGAAATAAAAATCCAAAACCTTCAAATGAAGCTGAAGCTACATTAAGAAGACTATCTAATTTTGTTGTTTGCGTTTCAAGTGTATATGGATTATTAATTCCAGTACAATCAACTGCACGTTTACAACTAAAATTTTCAATATTAAAACAATAAAATAAGTAATCCTAGAGAGTAAAAATAACAAACCGATAGTAACCAGATGATGCAAAATAAAGAGCAAGATCATCTTTATGAATATTATCATTTGATTTACCCATTGGACTCCAACGTACTTTGACATTTTTCCAAAATGTTGTTTGTTCATATGGATATGGATAATTTTCATCACGATCTCGAATTTCTACGAGATTCGATCGATCAGTTCCTATTTAAAAATAAATAAATAATTATTAAATTTTTTTTTTTTTAATTTTACAAACCATGATTTCCTTGTCCATCAGCATTTGCTTGTCCATCAGAAGGACCAAGATTATTATGTGTATTTGAACCTAGATTTAAGTTATGGATAGTAACTAAGAACAAAAAAAAAAGAATACAAAATATTTAATATTCTACCTGTCCATTGTATATGAATAAGATCATTTTGATTAATTTGAAGATTTCTTGGTGTAAAATCATATTCAACAGCTGGATATGTTTGAACAATATTTCCACGTTTACCTAACATATTCCAATTATAAATATTTTCATTATCATTTATACCATCTAGATTTAAAGAAAAAAAAAAAACAATAATTAAAAAGTTTTGCAAATAAAATTTTTTTTTTTACTTGGTCTTGGTAAAATTTCGAATATATGTGTTCGATCTTGAAATGTTCGACCAGTTTGATCAGTATTTAAATTAATTTGTAATCGAATACCATCATCAACAACAACAATAGGATCATTTTTTACAGGTGATTTAGCTCTAATATAAGTGAATTTTCTTTTTCAATAGAATTTAAAACAAAAAAAAAAGAGAAATATATTTACCCATTACTAGCTGAATTAATATTATATAAATTATAATCAAATGTTGAAATATTATAACGAATTCGAGCTATACATCGTTTAACTTTATTCGATGGAAAACTTGGTATAATCCAATCATATGATAATGGTTCAGCATCAGACTTTAATCCAAGATAATTTGATCGTGACCAAGGAGCTTGAAGACATGATGGACTTTGTTGAGAATGAAGCACAAGACATTCTTCTTTGACAGTCATTGTATCATGAGGAACTTAAGAAATAAATTGATTGTTTTTTTTGTTCTTAGTTTAAAAAAATATTCTACACTCACTTGCCCATTTGTATTGATATCGACTATTTGAAGCTTTTTCACATGATGCTTGTGTTGTATATCCTAAAAAAAAAGAATGAAGAATGGAGAAAATTTTCTTTTTATTGGGAAAAATTTATTCTTACCTGGAGCTTTTTCAAGATAGGAATATAATAATAACCATTTACCACCATGCGATGTACAATTTACTTCATTATTAAATTTTGTTGATGTTCGTACATTATTTTTAGTTTCAATACAATCATATCGAGGTTTGATATTAAAACTTTCCTGTTGATAAAAACTAAAATTTAATCAATTAACAATTAATTTTCTACAATATTCAACTTAATACTCACCTACACCTACTGATATTACTTGTTAAAATAGCTATATCAGTCCATGGACTAGTATAAGGCCAATAATCCCGTTCTTCAGGACATTCATAACCATATTTCGTACCTGCCTTATCTTGTCGAGTATAAATAGCTGTATCACCTTGTAATTTTTGATCAGCTGTAAAAAGACCTATAAGAAAATCAATGAAAAACTCCTTTCTAATATTTCAAATACATATATGAAATAAACCTTTATTTCGTTCACGATTATAACATCGATCATAATAATTCCATGATTCATGAAGTCGACGTGTTGTTTGAACATCAGCTGTTTTACCAGCAATATCCGATGTTTTGTCTGATGTATATGTTTGAGATGGTGTTTCGACACCATTACGAAATTTATCTAAGAAAAAAATTTTTTTTTTAAAATAATATTTTTTTTTTTCTATAAAATTTTCTATATTACCAAGATCATTTTCTTTCATATCACCACCTTGACACATATATTGAAGAATAATATCGCATGTTTGTTTTGTTGGATTTGTTTCTTCATTACCACCACAACCATGTTGATTTGTCCAAACAAAACGTAATATTGTCTTACCGATTGCACCACTTTGAAAGAATTTCTATTGGAAAACAAAAATAAAAAAAAATTTTAAACTACTTTTCTAGTAAAGTTTTAAATATGGTGTTAGTGCAACGTTGATACCAGAACTCCGAATGGGATAGGACGAAGAATTCGTCCCATGGGATAACTCGTTTTGTCCCATCCCATGGGAAAAATCATATTATAAAAAGACTTTCTGAAAATTTAGAGTCAATTTCTGTGTCTTCTTCATTCAATTATCGCAGCTCTCTCCATGCATGTATGTTTAGACCAGTTTATTTGATATTAAATTTGTATACTAATCATATATACGTATATTCGAATGGATCCTGATTTTTCTAAAATCATTGTAGACTTAATAAAAAACAAAAATTTGCCTTTTAGATTTAAGAAGCTCTTTCATTAAAGTGCTTTTTTTTATTCATGCAATCAGTAGCTACGCGATAGTCTATTAAAAATATACTCTATTATGAAATATAGAACTTTGTTAAAACAGTTTTAAGTCTTTTTATGCACTTGGAAAAAAAGATTGAAATATTTTTTATGAAAAATAGTAGAAAAAACCAGTAACGAAAGTATTTGTTTTTAAGGAATAAGATCAACAATTAGAATATAGTAAATTCTATTATTCAGTACTAGCAGAAAGTATTGGTTGAAACCATATTTCAATCAAAACAGCTTGGATTTTTTTCATGATAAAGAGAAGAAAAAATTCCTGATTGATACACTTTTGAAATTTTGTGTCAAAGTTTCTAGAAACAGAATGAAAAGGTATTATGATGAGTCATAAATAGAATTTCTTTTCTTTCACATATTAGGAAGTATTTTTATTTAGAATTTTGTCGGAATATTTATTTTAATCAATTTGAGATTTATTATTTCAATGAACATATATGAAAACTCTTTGTTTGTAGCATTTTCAATAAAAGGATTATTACTTGACTCGAAAGATTCATAAGAACAAATCTTGTTAGATGTCTAATAGTCTCAGAAAGACATGTTTATAAGTCCAAAATGAGTTCAAACAACGGATTTCGCTTCAGATTACTTCCTCATAAAAAACACAATCATTTATTTTTCTTTTTTTGTACTTTTCATTCAGTATTTCTTATCATGACAGTCTGCCCTTGTCAGTCTCAATCAATGAATCATTATATTACATCGAAAATATGTATTCTATTCATGTACTTCATAAATACTAGTTTCTTATTAAGAAAAAGATGAGTCATAAAAATAAAAAGTAATAACTTATTGTTTGCTCACATCAATATTTGAACATTAAATTATTAACAATTGAAATTCAATTTAAAATATTGATATTAACAAATAAAAACAAATTTCTTTTATTTTTATACATTTTAAACTTACAAGATAATATTGAAGTGAAGCATCTGTTCCATATGATTGATTCGTTGCATCTGGAACATTATAACCACCTTTATTATTATTTTGAGAATCAAATGCATTTTGAGCATTTGCACGATTTGCTGTATTTTCATTAACACGATTATTTGAACCCGGTGGAAAATGCAAATAAATATCAGCATTAATAACTGATATAATTAAAAAAATACCAAAATAAAATCGACTCATTCCTAATTCGATCGAAAACAAAACAAAAAAAATTCATCATGATATATTTAATGATTCATAAGAAAAAAAATTTTTTCTTTTTCAATTGGTCTTAAATAAGACCCATTATAAAACATATGATTGATGTCGCTCTGATCGTAATTACTTATAAAAGACAATCTGATAAGCTAATCTTCATAGGGAAGCTATCGTAGGCAATATTACCTATCTTTCTCTTGTATTTTGTTTGTTTAACATTGAATTGAAAGAGACAAACAAACACATACACCTTCCTATTATTTCTATTGAAAAACAAGCAAAAAAAAAAAGAAAATTTTTTTTCATGTTACATTCAGCAAAAAAAATAAAACTTGAACATGATACATGTTCAAATAATTATCAAAATCGAATCGAACCACCTCCTAAATCTGGACATTATATGACATCAAGAATTGATGATAATGCAGTAAAAAAAAAAATAAAATTTATTATATTCATTGTTTGATATATATATATTCTAGCCAATATGTGATGTTCCATGTCCATCACCAATACCAAATTCAAATGAACCATTATCACAAGGTTTACCTATTGTTAATGAAACAGCACAAGGTGAAACAGAACGTCATACTGAATTTAATGGTCGATTTATTAGTCTTGTTTCTCTATTACAATTTATTAATACTGTATATAGGTAACTATATATTGCAATTTCTTTAGATTAATTTTTTCGTCTTTTTTTTTTTTTTCGAAAAGATCAAATTTAACATCACCAAAATGGAAAAATTTTCGTGGTTCACGTATTGAATGTCGAGATAAAATACGTTTAAATAATGTTATTTGGAGAACATGGCATCAACAATGTAAATTAATTAATAATAGAAAATATAATAAAATTTTATTTCTTTATTTTATTATTATTTAGTTATTCGAAAAATAAAATCACTTGTTTGTCGATTTGTTTCACCACTTGATACTCAAACATCAATTGTATTTTTATTTTATTATATAGAATTAATCATTGAAAAACTTTTCTTTTCTTTTTTAATTATATTAGACACCAATAAATCATCAATTAAAACAACAAAGTACAAATAATTTAAAAGATGAATATATTAAATGGAGAGAAAATTCAAAAAAAGCATTACGTCGAGTAGATATTGATCCATCAGTATATATATATATATATGAATCCTTTAATATATATATATATATTTATTTGTTTGTTTTTTTTTCGTTTCTTCTTTTAATTAAGAGTGATGAAGCGAGACATCTTTTGGGTAGTATATGTGAAATACGTACACCAAAAATAAATCCGAATTTTCGTCGTATTGCAACACCACCATCAGATTCATATAATTTAATTGATGAATATGATTTAGTTGCAGATCAATTACTTTTTTCAACAACAAATATATTTAATGATAAAGATACAGGTAAAATTTTTATTAAAATTCATAATTTTTATTATATATGAATATTCTAAAATGATTAAAACTTTATTTTTTTATTGTTTGTTCCTTCTCTTATTCGATTATAGATTGTCCACTCTCAGGTAAATGGTTATTTTTAAAACAAATACGTATCTACTCATCATGTTTTGTTTTTTTCTGTAAATGCTCGCATTTTACGCTAGTCATTTAACTAATTATATAATATATATATATATCTAAATGTCAATAACTAAGAACATCATCTAATCACTTTTTACAATTTCTTCTGGTTGTATGATACCAATTGTGGGTTATGTTCTTATTTTTAGAATTAATTTTAATATCAAATATTTTATATAAGTGTGTTTCTTTTGTTTTGTTTTTTGTATTTATAGTACTTGGTGGTAATCCAGATTTACATCAACCAATTATGGGACAATATTGTTTTGATTTTCAAACATTATTTGATGATGCATTTGATCCATTAACAAGTAAATTTTCAATATGTTATATTTTTAAGAAATTTTTCATTCTATATTTAGATGATGATTTTTCACGAGATAATAATGATTCTGTAAGATATTGTTTTTATCATGTATTAAGTTCGAATGAGGAATATGTATTATTTTGTTTTTTTTTTTGTTAAAAATAATTAAATAAGATGTTTATACATTCGACGGCATATTCTATTATTAGTAAGATATCAATTGAAAATTATATAATTAGTTCAGCTTTACGTTTCTTTCTCAGCTTACAATAGATATTGTCTATTGATAATAATTTTTAGCGAAGAGTTACATAATTTTACTATTATGAGATGGTCTTGAAAACGCTAAGATAATAGGATGGGTGATGACTTAGAAGGTAAATTTGAAGATTCATACTAAAATTGATCATATTCGAGGAGAGAAGGCAGTCAACATCTAATTATGATGTCATTTATTGCGAAGTTACACTCTATATATAGAGATTGACATGATGAAAATATCCATGATAATAAGCAAGTCTGGAGAATGTTAACTAGCGTGACGAAAACAAAAGAAGCTGTCCAGGTGATGAAAAGAATAAAAAAAAAAAGGAAAACTTCGTACGTCATAAAAGAGAGAGAGAGAGACAGAGATATAATTAATCAGTAAATATCCTAGATAGTATCTATCGAAGAAATTATTAACATCCATGGACAAATTCCTATGAGAAATAAAGAAAAACAAATTAAAACTTATCGTTATTTCTATAGATTTTATGTGCTACTTATATAAATATTATCTATCAAAATAGTACTATGTTCCGCTGTTCTTATCTATTTCATAATAAACTTTATTATATGTATCTGCATTGCTTGAGACTGTGTTTGTACAAAAATACTAAGCATATAGCACATTAAATAGTATGTTGTCTAAAAAATTAGAAAAAGAAAAATATTAAATCAGTAAGGTAAACTTTTGTCATAGTCTAACTGAGAAACATTTTCGAAATCTTACCCTGTACATCTTTGATCAGTAACTTAAACAAACGGAAATATGATGCAATGAACGGACATGAAGTTTATTAATACTCAATGAATGATCGGTAATTTGTTTTTCAAGACTTTTTTTCTCTAACCAAAGTGATCGAAAACTGACCGTATTCAGTGATGTTAGAGATCCATGACCCTTGTTCTCAATACCTTTAGATATTATCATTAGGAGAATTTCATATACAAAGAATAGACCCAGCGTCAGTTCTTCTACTAGGAGTTGCAATAATTGGATTGAATAAAAGTACTAGTTCATAACGAAGAGCCCTCATTTATATGACATTTCGAAAATCTTTTAGTGATGAAAACGTTTAGGAAGTTTTGAAGACATCTTTAAGAACCATCGGACTCATTTATAACTCCGATCTTACTTTGTTCGATCGGACTAAAATTTTTGCTGATGGTATCTAGAACAGTCTCAAAGATGGTTTTTAAGTTTTTTTGAAAAATATCAATGTTTAACTGATGATCAATATATTGATATTTTTCAAAAAAGTTTAATACTAGTTCTAAAATTTTATAGATAATCTAGTTGTGATATCAATTTGAGTCCGATCGATTGTACTCTTATTCGTCATGTGATGATTCTATTCAAAATCCAATATTTAGAAACACTATACAAAAAAAGCTGAAAATCTTTTCATATGCATATAACACTTGATCATATAATATTTCAAAAAAAATACCTTAGGAAACTTCTTAGTATAGTAATAATATTGAGAAGAAAATTTAATTGGCTCTTGTAAATTGTTTAATATTTTAAATTTAGTTACCACCATTAAATAATTATTCAAATCAACCAGATTTTACATTAGATGGACCATCACATGTACAACAAGATTTAAGTAATTTTCAAACATTAGTTTCTGTTGCGACAGAACGACCACGTGTAACAATTGAACAACAAACCAATATTTTAAGTCAAAATGATTCTAATGTAAAATTCATTTTTGTGTTCTTTTGTTAAATTTTATTTGTTTATTCTCACTTTTGTTTCAATAGAATAATGTTCAAATGAATTCAATGCCTATTTATAAAAATATATCCTATGAACCATTTCATACCTATACACAAAACGTATCACAACCAATTAATCATAATAATAATCAATTGAACAACAATGTAAATCATTAAACTCCTATTTTAATATACAAAAGAAATTGTTTGTTTTTTTTTTTTTAGAATATTGACCAAATCATGCCTATTACAAATATATCGATAACACCATCAACTAATATTGTAATGAATAATCCACAAACATCATTATCTCATGAAATTCGACAACAACAAACTGATCTATCAATTTGTAAACCACCATCATCAACACTTGTTGATCTTCTAAACCAAAGACGTAGTCCACCACCACCAATGCCACCCGTAACAACTAGTCAACGAAAACAAAATTCAATTATAAAACAACCAAGAAAATCTTCGAAAAAATATCAAATACAATTAAAACGATTATCTGTTCCGACAGATAATACTATGGGAGTAAATTAAGATTATTGATTTGCAATTTCATTTTATTTATTTTTTTTTAGAATATAATTAACTCTAATGAATTAAATTTAAGTGGAATGAATAAAACGCAACATATTGTAGCACGTTCAACATCCGAAGAAATACCTTTTACTTATCCACAACCACAATATTCTATTTCGACTTCATCATTACCAAAAAAACGCAATGAATCCATATCAAACGATACGATCTTTTTAAATGGAGATGGGGTAAAATTCTAAAATTAGAAAACTAATCTAACTTATTCAGTTTATTATCTATTTCAATTCTAAAATTAGATTTTAAGCAAAGAAAAATTCATTTCGAATGTCATTTCAATTTTTCAAATTTATTTGTTAAATTGATTTTCTATAATTTTTAATTATTGGTGATCTTATAGTATCTGTTTTTCACCTCTTACCTTTGAACTCTATCGGGTCCAAAATTTTCGGATCGGAAATCAGTTGATCGGATTCTATGACTAGTATAGTCTAACATTTTTGAGACGACTAGAGCCCGTCCGTTTTTAATTTTTCGTGCCCGAATCCGGATTACGGAACCAATCTGACGAGTTCTATTTACGAGGACACAGCTCAAACTGATATTTGCCGTTTGGACTTGTATTAGGTCCACAAGAATGTTTGAGTGAGACTAGCAAAAGTTTAACATGACGTTTTTCTACAGGCCTATGAAGTCGAGCTAGGATCGTTTTACTAAATTTTCGACCCAACTTTTAGGATATCCTGAAAAGTTACAAAATAATTACGACGTAGAATTTTACCTATAGATACGTTCAATGACTCTTAGAATTTCTTGTTATTTAGATGTTGAATATTCAAGTAAACTCAATTTTGTTTTGTGTATCATGCCTATGGCAAGTGATGATCCTTTGGAAATTAGATATTTAAACAAAAGAACATTGTTTTCAGATGAAACTTTCAGGATACTCAACTGGTCTTTCGGTGTATCTATGGATGAAATTCAATTATTGAGATTTTTCGATACACATCTACATTCAGCAAAACGATCCTAACTCAGCATCCCACATCTATAGGAACGAACATTTATAGACTTTTCGTAATTTCACAAGGTGTCTTTGTAGATCTTATAGAACCTCAAACTGCGGTTATCAATTCATCGAGTAATAAAATATTGTATCGATTCACTTTTCTAATGAGAGTGTGGAGTTTATAAACAATTGAAAATTTCATTTACTTTCATCTTGAAATTAATATTTGATGAGCTGCATTTATTTAACTTTTATAATATAACAATTATATAATTCTTTTTTTGCAGACACTTGATTCATCTCCATCATCATCATCAAGTGGTGGACAAAATGCTGAAACTAAACGTCGTCGAAATATAAAAGTAATTATTTATTAATTGAGTTTTTCAAACAAAATATCGTCTTTTTCATTCATTCTTTTTGTTTTTGTTTTATAGAATGGTTTTGAAAATCTTCGTTTTCTCATTCCAGAACTAAATAATCCAGTTAATGCAAAAATAAGTAAAGCACAAATGCTTGAATGTAGTAAGTATATTTTTCTATTACAAAAATTTATAATTTTATTAATATATTTAGCTGCTCATCAAATTCAACAAGCTACTCAAACACGTGATCAAATGAAAATGCAAGTTGATCAATTACAAAAAGAAGAAACAGAATTAAAAGCAAAAATTTCTGAATATCAAGCAAGTTTACCTGTCGATGGTATACCTACTATGCCAACAGCAAATCGTTCACGTGAAGCATTATATGCATTATTTCATTCCTATGTTGCTAGTCGAACACAAAAACAATGGCATTATTATCCATATTCACTTGTATTAAAACGTTTTTTTGATACATTTCAAAATACAGTTAAATGTGAATCATCGGATGAATTTATACGTTCATTAAATGAATGGAAAACAAATTCATTGACTCTTACACAATTACGGCTAGCTGCTTCACAAGCTGTTATAGATATGGGACAAAAAACATCTTTCATATCAAGTAAGTTATATGATGAAAACAAAAAAAAAAGAAAATCAAAATAATGTTCAAATTTTCTATTTTAGCACCTGGCAAAGTACCAGAAGAATGTATTCGTTTAGCATTAGGTGATTTATAGTGACTATGGTGTGTTTTTCTTTTGTTTTGTGTTACGATTGCCTTTATTAGTGATTGTATGTTTCTACTATTTTTCGGTTTTTGTTTTTCTTTTATATTTGTACAGTATATCTTTTTGGTTACTTTTTTTTTTTTTTGTAGAAGATTATCGATGCGCGCTATGTATTTACTAAGAAATATGTTAAAATTGTGTGTGTGTATTTGCCGTGATTTTGTTTCTGTAAATTGAAAAGTAAAATAAATAAACAAGAAAAGAAAAGAAAGAAAAATGAATGAAAAAAAAACGAGCTATGTGATACTATGAAAGAATTTATAATGTCAATAAACAATAACAGTTGTATGATACAGTTAAATTTTTTATTCAAATATAAGAAAAATTCCTTTCAATTTGTTAGTTCTATAGATAAGAATTTCATGCAACTCTTAAAACTTGTCTAACGATTTAAGATTGAGTGTACTGTAAGTTAAGAAAATTAGTCTTAATCAGATCATATGTAAATGCTCATACTGTCAAAGTAATTAATTTATTATATGATCTGTTCATAGCATGAACGAATTAAGATATTCGAATTTCAACAAATTATAGTCTATGTCATGTAGCCTTACTTGAAAAGTTCAACAGCATTTATTTTTCTTTTTAAGTGTATATATATGGCTTGAAAAAAAGAAACACTCACATCCTAGACGATGCGACACATTCTATAATGCGGACAAAGTCAAAAACATTTTTTTAATGTATTGTTTGTTAGTCTAGATGAGCAGCATATGAAGTCATATCTAGAATCATCATGATACTTCATCGCTGAAATAGCAATCATCAATGCTTGTGAGTTTCATTTTGGAGATCATTTCCTATGTTCACTCTTTCTCAATATTTATTAGATATATATATCTATATATACTTCAAATATCATCTCAGAATATCGTTGATTGATCTGCTCATTAAAATTAAGATTGCTGACTACAGATATTGACGATAGTCATATCATAGAAATTCAAATCATCGAATTTTGCGATATAACGTTCAACAAAGATCATAGTGACCATGAGATCATTAGTTTGACTTAAATATGATCAATCATCTTAACTTATAGCACATGACCTTCCATTGTCAAAGCAAATATTTGTCCAATGTATGCCATGTTTTGACATACATTTTTCTTTTTAGGATATAGTAAGAAAGAAGAAACTTCTTTTATTAAAAAAAAAAATGATTCACAACCAGAAAAACTGAACATTATGATTGTAAAGTCTTTCATAATTATATAATTGAAATTTAGATTTAATTGGATAACTATGTATGCGCGTGCGCTTTGTTAAAAAAAAAGGCAAACATTTTCTAATAATTATTCTTAAATTATCTTTCTTTTGTAATGCATACAAAATAAATAAATGACAACTATTTATAGAAAAAATAATAATACAAATCATACTAATTTGAAGATAAATTTTATTATTGATCTTCTTCAACATCTGAATCAATACTGTCTTCTTCACCGGGTAATTTTTGAGGTACTAATTCTTTAACTAGATTAAAATATCGATCATCTTTTGTAAGTATAAATCGACGTTCACGAGCTTCTAATGCACGTTTTTTAATTGTAAAATCATCATCTAAATCAGGTGTAGCAGAAATATTTGATAATATTCGAAATAAAACAGAACCAAAATTATTTTCAAGTCCTAAAGTAGGATTTGTATCTTGTTGAAATTCTTTATCAAAACGACTTGTTCGTGGTCGTCGTGGTGATAATTTTGTTGTATCAGTAACTATTGATGTTGAATGACTCATTTTTGTTGTAGCACTTTGTCCACGTCGTCCATTAACAGCAGATTTCGAATCATTCTTTATAGATACTTTATCTTGATAAGATTCTATAAAAGAAAAATTTTTTAAATATTTTTATTATTGAAAATAATTTAATGATTTGATTTACTTGGATTAGCACTATTCGATTTTGCAACATGTTCAATAATAACTGATGTACTTCTTTCTGTTTGTTTTTCTATATCTTTTTTAATTTCATCTATTTTTTGATTAGCTATAGCTTTTTCAATTAATTGTTGTTCAAATAGAAATTTTTGTTCTTCATCTTGTTTTGTTCGTAATCTTAATGCTGCAGCTAAATCAGCACCTAATTCACGTTTTAATTTTAAACGAAATGCACGATCATACATTCTCCAACGTTTATGTCGTTCATTAATTGTTTTTTGAAATGTTTGTTGTTGCCATTCAAGATTATTTATACGACGATATTTTGTTTTTTCCATTTCATCTAATTCAACATTAGCTGCTGCTTGTAATTTACGACAACGTAAAACAGCATCCGGTAAAACAGTTGGAATATCTTTACGAGCATACATAATGAATAATTTGTTGAAAAAAAAGAAATGAGAAGCAATTTATACAGAAAAAACACACACACATACAAAGAAATTTTTATCGAACATAACAAAAAAATATTTTAAAAACAATTTTTTCATTATGGAATATCGATAAGACACTTGAGACACAAAAAAAAAAAAAAAAGAAAAACTAAACAACAAATGTATTTATGTGAGTTTTGTTTCGACAATCATTGGTTTTGTTTTTAGATAAAATTCTATGTTTTTTTCAATCAAACAATGTATTTAATAAAATGTTCAAAGTACATTCGAAACCAAAAATCATCAATTGTTAATAATATGTCAAAAATTGTTTTTGTATTTGTCATTGAAAACAAAATGTTCAAATGTTAAAGTAGATAAAATAAAAGATTAAATCTTTTCATAAAGATATGTTTGAGTGTTTGTTTCTCTATTTATTTTGTTAAATCGTTTGATATAACAAAAAAAAAACAAAAGTATTCATATAATGATGAAGTATAGAATTATAGGTTAATAACACTTTCTTTAATACGAATAAATTCGTTGTTGACTCATAATAATGTAATCATATATATATATATGAAATACATTCATACTAACAAAATAAGTTATATTTTAGTTATATCCTATAATTTATAGTTTTCGCTCGTATTTTTCTTTTTTTCGTTCAAAATCTAATTAAAATATTGTAACTATTCACATGTAAATCATAATAACTAGAATTATGTTCACTGTCTATTTCACTCATACAATAGGTATAATACATATAATACGTTTTATATGTATAATTATTTTACTAACATTTGCTGAAATAAAAATTTCATCATGTAATACATATTTAAATGAATTTCTTGGTTTTAATCATACATCAATACATTTTTATTATATATTAATATGGATATCATTTACATTTGAAATATATTTTCTTATTAATCGTTTATTTGCTTCTATAACAATAAAAGCTAAAATATCAATAAAAATTTTATATATATTATTATGTTTATGTTATATTCTAGCATCATGTTTTACATTATATGCATTAATTAATTCATCAAATGGTCATGTTATAACTCAAAATGATTTTTCTGATCCACCACAAACAATACTTATTTTACCACCTAATTGTAATTTATTTCGTTTAATTGGAATTCTATTTGGTTTTCTAATTAGTTTTCTCTATTTCTTTGCTATTATCTTAATTCATCGTTTAAAAGATTAAATAAAAAAAAAAAAAAAACAAACAAACAAACAAACAATCAAACCACATGTTGTTGTTCCTTTTTTTTTTTTTTTTTTTTGTTTCGATCATATCCAAAAAATATATATACACACATACAGATGATGTTGAATGAGAAGAAAAAGAGATTACTCATATTTTTTATAGTAAAGAAAAAAAAAACAAAAACAAACAAACAAACAAAAAGACAGAAGTTGATATGTATACACAAAGTTTGAGATTTTTTGCTTTTATTTTGTTCATTCTCTATTTTTTTTTTTTGTTAACGAACTCAAAAACAAACGAAGAAAATCATTTACATATTTTTCATACTGTTGAGTTCGTTTATTAATTCAAGTACTGGTGGTGAACGTGTTGATGAATGTACATTATCACGAAGTAAACAATCAATAAATGATAATGTCATTTCAAGTTTACCATATGTTATTTCAAAAACTGTATATGTTGCAAATAATGTACATATTGCTGTTAAAAAATCTGTTAATGGTCGATGAAATAATTGGACATAATCTAATTCAATATTATATGCAACTGATGATGATGATGATGATTTTCCATCAAAAAATATTGTTGCTGGATGTTCACCACGAATAATTGGCCATGGAGATTGTGTATCCTTCCAAAGAAAAAAAAAAATATTTTCTTTAATATTAAAACAAAAAAAAAATTTTTACTTTATCTGGTGCAACAAGTAAAAATTGATATTCACCAAAATAACATGCAACAATTAAAATAGCGAATGTATCAGCTAATACTTAAAAAAAAACACACACACAAAAAGATATATATATATATATTCATATAAAAAAAGAATTATACTTTGTTCTAATTGTGGTCGTTGAGATAGAATAGTATGATAAGAAAGAAGTATATCAGGTGCACAACCAGTTTCTTTAGCAAGACGTATAATTGGTTTTGATATTGAACGAAGTTTATGTATTAAAACAGTTTGAATAGGAATGTTTGTTTGCATATGAAAATCAGCAAGTAACTAAAAACAACAATAACAACAAAAAAGAAGATTTTATTTTTAAATAATAAACATAATAATTAAAATAAAATACGAACACATGAATGTAATTGTAATGCTGGATATTCGGTAAGAATTTCAGTTGTATTATGTGTTTTAACAAAATTTCGTCGTATTTCAAATGTTTCTTTAAAATAATCTGATATAAGTGATATATCAGGATCATCTGTAGCTGCTAATGTTTCTTGCATAGCTGTTATACAACCACGTAAACGATTTGCTTCATCTTCATCAATTTCATCATTATTATCACTTGTTTGATCCTATATAAAAAAAAAACATTATATTTATATTAAAAAAAGAATATAATTAAATATAAAACAAAAGTTTACATTATCTTTTCCATTTGTTGGCATTTCACCTGATTCATATTGTCCATCATCAGAATCAACTTCAAATTCATGTCGTGAACGTTTTTGTCCATTAGATGTTTGTGCTAATTTTTCTTCACCTAATTCTTCATCACCGGACATACGATCATAACCATTTTCACCACTCATTGATTGTGTTACATCAACATAAGATGTAGCTGTACGACGTCCACGTTTAAATTTACCTTTTATACCATCAATCCATGCACCCTTAAAGAAAATATATATATAGAATAATTGTCATATTTTTAGTATACAACGAGATATATTTAGATTTTCTCTATCTAATGACACATAGAATATCAAGTTTTTTTTCAGTGTATCATTGATATATCATAGATAGCGTCATTTTCTATTAGAGCCCATCAAATCCAAAATATTCGGATTCATATCTGGTATCGTCTACTGTGACGCTACCTATTGATATGCTAACAGTAGGCATGTGGAATGTTTAAGAAATTCTAAATATATGTCGTTCTATGGTCAAAAATTTAATGTTACTTTTTATATTTTACTTACTTCACCACCATCTGTTGATGATTCAAGAAATGGATAAGCTTTAACAAGTGCTGAAGCTACAGTTTTATATTGTCGAGCATTTGGATACCTAAAAAAATAATCAAAAAAAAAAAATATTTTTATTTTATTTTTTTTTAATGAATTTTTTTTGTACCAAAGATTATATGTACGAGTAAGATCATCGTAAATAGATGATATTAAAAGATTTCGATAATATGTACGGAGTTTAAATGCACTTGCATCTTGTGATGCAAGTGCTAAACGGAGTGTATCTGGAAATTGTGGTAATTTATATACATGAGGAAATGTATGTTTTGTATCATTTTCATTTGTATCTCCATTTTGTTGAATACTAAAATAATAATAATAATGAGAAAAAATTTTTTTTTTTTTTTTTTTGTATTTTTTTACTTCATAGCTGGACTTGAAAAATATTTTGGTTCACGTTTAAGTGTTTTTAATGGTGGACCTTTTGGTGTAAGTCTTTGTGGAATTTGTGAACGTTCAGAATATGATGTTCGAGAATGAGGATGATGATGATGATGATGATGACCATTTGTAGCTGTTGGTATTGGTGAATTTGAATTAGATGATTGTTCAATACCATTATCAAATGATGATGATGAAGCAATAACATGAGCAGCTATTTGATGTGCTGCTGAATGTCGATTAATATTATTATGTCCATTTATTGTTGTTGTTGTTGTTGTTGTTGTTGATGATGATGAAGGAAGTGTTTTTTTTGAATTTATTTCAACAGAATGTCGTTGTTTAAGTGTTTGTAATAAATCAAGAAATTGTACTTCAAGTTTAATTGTTGGAAAAAGACGAACAACCATTGATTCACTAAGTTTAAGAAGTGTTGGACCATCAATTTCATTGTCTAAATTAATGATAAAAATAAACATGATTATTTATGATAATATGACGACAGAAATAATAATTTTCCTTTTTTATCCTCATCATAATCAACACATGATAAATGACATGAAACAACGCCTTATTCTTTTGCGTTTTGTTAAAACATTGAAACAAAAACAAAACAAAAAAAACACATAGTTCTAATATTTTCCATCGAACTTTTATGTTTTTAAAAATACCAGAAAATTTTTATGTACTTGTTTGTTTTTTTTTTCTTCTTCTTCGTATATATGTATTTACCTCGAAAAACTTTTTCAAATGCGCCAAAATTTGATTCATGAAGCCAAGCAACAACTGCATCAGCATCCCATTGCAATACATGCGATTTCTACAAATCGATTTAAAAGTTAGATTTTAGAAAAATAAAAAAAAAAAATCGTTTTTTTTTTTTTGTTAAATTATTTTACCGTAGAAACTACTGCCGAATCCATTATATTTGCCTATGTATGAATTTGTATGTATGCGGTCAGTAGCAGTTCAGCATAAGAATGTGAACTAATATGTGGAGTTTGCCGGTTCTTCGTCGTCGTTCGATGAGAAGGAAAAGAGAGAAGACGAAGAAGAAGAAGAAGACGAGAAAGAGAGAGAGAGAAATAGGCGAACGTTGTCTACAAAATACACGATTCGACGTTCTGGTGTCAATGGATCTATGTACAGAGAAAAGAGGTTTATGTATGTCCGTCTGAATTTTGAAGGAAAGGAAGGAAGGAAGGACGCACGCACGAGAGAAAAAAAACACGGAGAATACGTTGCTGGACGGCTGCTGAACGGACGATTTATGTGTTTTTGTGCTTATGCCCACGCATGTATGTCTATATATGTGTGTGTTTGTGTGTGTGCATTTGTACGTACAGTCTTTCTTCCTGGCGGACTACTACTACCTATGAATGATGATGGCGAGCGACGACTTTTCTCCCTGTTTTTTTCCTTTCGTCCGCCCGCTCTTGTCACTGACTCAAATCTCTCTTTCGACGCCAACAACATCTGGTCTATTGGTAGTTGTTTGAGAAGAAGAAAAAAGAAAAAAAAGAAGAATTTCAGAATGAAGAAAAGGGCATGAATAAGAATAAGAAGGATATGAAAGAAAACAAAATGGACATCGTCCACATACATTCTATATATATATATATATCAATGTATATGGAAATGCTTTTTATTTAATGATGCATATAAGATAATGTCATGAATATGTACAATTTATGGAACATAATATAGATATAGAAATCTTTTTCTTATTATTCATACACTCTATTTCACTGAAGTGCATTGCATTAAACCAATTCTGTCGTACTTTTTTTTTTTCTTACTATACAGTATTAGATGAAAGACAGTTATAGAGAACGACACTAAGTACGTTTATTTTCTTATTCGTTCTGCTTTACTCCCCAGTCAGTTCTTCTTATAGATAAATTAAACATATTTACGTTATAATAATTAAAAACAATGTGTTTTGTTTTTCTTCTATATGAAAAAAGCATAACCTTTTGATTAAATTCTAAAATAAAATATTAATGAGAATACAATAGTTTGTACTGAATGAAAGTCGGTGTGGGAATTAACACATGCATATATATATATATATATATAGAATTTGAAGAGAACGGGTTTACTCATTGATGCTATCGAACAATTCCATCGAGAAACTATGGCGCATCAAGAAATGAAGAACCTTCAAGCATATACACGTCCCGAACGAAAGCTTGAAAGCCAACGCCCTATTTCTGTCCTTGTCGTTCTCTTTCTTCTAGCTTTCTACGTCTTACTTGCTAAACCCGGTGCGTGTGTAACAGATAAAAGAAAAAAAATAGAAGGACACCCCCTAAAATCGTTTTCTCTCTCTCTCTCGTTTTTTTGCGCGTTTTTTTACTATCGTTGTCATCCCGAAAACCTACTCTATATCTCGTCCTTCTCTCTCTCGCTCTTCTTTCCAGATCATGTAACAGAGACACACATACACACACTTGCTCTCTATATGTAAAGTTCATCTTTCGGCTTCTCCTCGACATAGCGATTGTTAGAGTGTCGAAAAATCCAAAGCATGCAGGGTCTCTTTCGTGTTCTTCTATACCTCAATGATTGCTGTATGTGTAAATGCATATGCCCGTGTGTTGTGAGACTTGGTGTTGAGGGTGGTAATGAAAAGAAAAAAGGAGAACTCTCAACGCCGTCGTCGACGACGAACAGAATCTTCTGGACGCCGTCGTCGAGCACGTAGCAAGAAAAAGCGAAGAGAGAGAATTTGTGCTGTAGTAGTGCGTTGAGTGCTGCCGTGAAGGGATTCTGCGTCGATCACTTTCTCTTTAACGGCTCTCTCGCTCTCTCTCTTATTCTCTCATACTATCAGAGTATCAATGCACGTAGAATACACATAGGAAAAGAGAAGAGAGAAAGTTCGTGGTCGAGCCATTTGTTCGTTCGTCCGTTCATCTATCCATTCTCTGTTGTCTGTCCTCTGCAGCTCTCCTGCTGCGCATGTGTGTATGTGTGTATACTTTCTTCACATCTTCTTTCTCTCTCTTGTGTGTGTGTGTGTGCGTGCATATTCTCCTACTGGTGGCCGAAAGGTTGTTCAGAGGTCAATTTCGCTCTCGCCCGTTCTTTCTGCATCCATTGTCTATTTCTCTGACGCTATGTAAAGATCAAAACTTTTATACTAGGATTAGACAAAGGGGCAGACGAACAAGCAATCGTTGTTCATGATCCATATTTTTGCAGATCAATATACATATAAACGAGATAGAAGAAAAGAAGGAAAAAAAAAAAAAGAACAACTAAGAAAGAAATCAATCGATCTTGATAAATACAATTAACCAATTTATGAAAAACTACAATCTTTTGGATTTTGAAATTATTTTTTGTCTTTTTGTTAGATGATTTTCTCATATAAATTTATCAATACATAAAAAGAATTTTGTTTATTTATTTCGTTGACAAAAAAAACAAAATATATGAAAGAATATCAACTAATATAAATGAATAAGATCAACATTTATGAATAACAATATGTAGAAATTATGATGATTAATAAAAATGTGTGTTGATTTTTTTCTGTTCTTTTTTTTCTTATTTATGTGTCAAATGACTCAACAATATGTAACAGCTGATTGTATGAGTGATGAGATAAGAGAAGAAAAAAAAAAAAGTTGCAGAAATAGAGTAAAAACCAGTTCGTTAATTATTTATATACATAATTGTTTCTATTCGTTCTAAAAATTAATTAGTTGAAATAAAATAAAATAAAAAAAAAATTAATACATAAATAAAAACAAATAACATGAAGGTCAGCAAATAAGAAAAAAGGATTGCATCATCCACTGTAAACGTAGAGAATTGAGTTTAAAAAGATATGCAAATGGATGTTGATAGAAACAAATAAAATCGAGAGATGATGAAAGAAATTTTTTTGTTTTTATATTTTCAATCTTCTTATTTATTAATCTTTTAGTATCATATCTTTTTTATCATATGCGTTGTTTATAAACGTGAAAATGTAGAAGTTCATATTGATAATTAATTTAATTTTGCCATTTATAGATTTTTATCCTAAGATTAACAAAGAAAACTTCAAACATGTCAAATAATAATGGAACAGATGTCAAAGAGTAAATTTAATCTTTTATACCACAAGCTAGTATAATTAGATTGACTTGTGTTTTATTTATAGGACGGATTTTCTAATAAATACCGATTATATTAAAGTCCATCAGAAAATTATTCAGGAAGCTAATAATACTGTCAACAAACAACAAACATTGACAAATTATGGTGCTACTCTTCCAGAAATTCCAAATCAAAGTAGGCATAATATTATTGTCAACATTCGTATTATCTTCCGCATGTAATAGATTCATCTTGTAACTCGGTTGTTTGTAATACATCTGATGGAAGTATGTTTATTTATATATTTCTTTTTACAATATTTTTCATATTTGTTTATTTTTATGTTTAGGTCAATATTATGATGAAGTTGGAAGTTTGTTCAATCAACAACTGAGTTTATCAAAAGGCTTAAAATCACCATTTGATATTCAATATAAAACTGATTATTTTCCTCGTGGAGGTAAGAATGCGAATAAACCACAACCACCTCATTATATTCATGATGTTGATGGCAGTAAAAGTATTATTATCAAAGTATGTATATATATATGTATATAAAAAAAGATTAAAGTTTTCGTCTTCGAATAATTTTAGTTTCCACGCGGTTTTAAAACTCCCGAAAAGCTTGATAATTATTATCTTGAAGTGGCACTTTTAACAGTACCTCGAGTTGGACAACATTATATACACGTGAACAAATTTCAACTTGATAATATAGATATTACAATTTTGGATGAGAATCCAATTTTTATTCGTTTAACTGAAGAACATTTTAAAAAAGGAGAAATTGAGTAAATTATTTCTATATTAAAATAAAAATAAAAAGTTGAATTTTAGACTTAAATTGGTGTTAGTTAAAACACGTCTTGGTGATTTAAAGAATATATCATCATTACAATTATTTAACAGCCAGGAATCTCAAAGTAAATAATGTAAAACAATAAGTTAATATATATATATAGAATAAAATATTTAGATTGGACAACAGATTGTAAAACTATTGCAGAATTAGAACATGCTTATGAACTTTCTCATGCAATAGTTGCCTTTTCTATTGGATTTACTAATAATAAAAATGAATTTATTCGGTTTACGAATACAACAGTTATGTCAAATGAAGTTATTGAAAGTAAGATAGGAATATACATATTTATTTATTTTTAAATGTTTCTATTATGTATGGTTTAGAAGAAAAGTCAAAACCATTAGGTATATACTATATTCTATTTTTTACGAATTTCAATCTACAAATTTTATCTTTAGATAATATTACATGTCCTAATTGTTCACATGACTTTAGTATTAAAGAACAAAGACTTAAAAATAAAAAACGATCTATTTCTTCATCAACTTCAACCGACAAGGTCTAAAATTACAAAATAATATAGAAACTTCATTTTATATTTTTTTAATTTTTTTTTTTTTATTAGGAGTGTCCACGCCGACGACAAAAAAAGGCTCAAAATAATTCAGACCACTGAAGAGCCTCATCTGCATTAAAACTAAAATATTAAATATTCAACTATTATCTATATTAAAATTTTAATCAAGATTGACCATAAATAGCAGTACGATAAAAAAAAATGAAATATCTCTGTGTCAGTTCAAATATTACTTAGTGGTTAAAGCTCTAGGACCTGTTACCTTGTAAGAAAAAAAATATGTAGTGTTTCATAGACAATTTTTAAGTGTCCTCTCAGAAACTCATACGAAGAAATCAAAACCAACCTAATGAATGATATTATATTGTTGCACATATAGAAAAATTTCAGCACTTGAACTAACTATGTCTACCAACATAGTATCATTTATAAAGTTCATTTTGACTTCTTATTATTATTCTCTTAGATCACAATTAAAAATTGTGTATGAAACACTTTATATGTATTTTTTTTCAACTTAACAACAATGAAATATTCCTTCAATAAGGCTAAAAATATAGCTTGACAATAATGTTTTGTTTACGTTACCTTTAAGAAAAAACCTTTAAATGAGCGTCTACTATCATCCCAATAATCAGCCCATTCGAGCGAAACGAACCAGACATATTTCCATTTTTTTATCATTTTGTTTTATTTGTGGTCTATCCGGTGTTCTTTTAAACGTGCTAATTTTATTTGATTTTCTGTATTTTTTTTCAAATTGTTTTAAAAAAATAATTCTAAATTAATAAACAACAGTTTTTATTTTGAATAATATATTATATCATATATATGAATAAAATAAACTTTTTCTTTTCTTAATAAAAACGATGTACTACCATCGACCTTTAGTCTATGTATAATGTCCAATGATAAATACTTATATTTTTACTAATTATGTTTGTTTATGGGATAAGTATTGATAAGTCAACAGACAATAAATAAATAAAAATTATTTCCATGATTATATATATGATTACATATAGAATTGTACGTTTAACATTATAAAAATTATGAAGTATCAACGGAAAAATAATAATAATGAAAAATATTTTTTTCTATATACAAAAAGAAGTACTCTTAATTTCCTGAGTTTCTTTTTAGAGATAATCAATCAATTGAATACATTTTTCGAATTTCTTTCAACAGCTTTCCTACAATAAAATAGCCAACTGTCGTTCATGAATCTCCCTTAATTCAGGTAAAGAGTAGCCTACACTTGATGGGTTCTATATATAACTCAACAGACTCTTGCAAATCTTCTTTGTATTGATAGATTTCGGAGCTTTCTAAAATATCCTCCGATTTTTCAAAGCTTAATTTCACGAGAATCATAATTACTTTCAAGATATTAATTTTGCTCCTATCATTTAATGTGAAGATACCTAGGTAAACAAATTATGGTTATTTCGAGCCGGAAAGCTCGAGAAAACGGTAAGAAATTTGAAATAAAAATCTGATGGTCGTCCTAATCTAGTTACGAATGCAACTGTGAAAATTTAACCACTGGATCCAATTGAGGAATCTGTTGAAAATTCAAGTGTTTTGACGCGAGAAAAATTGATCTGCGTATAAAAGTAAATTATCTTCTAATTTCAAAGAAATTTTATTATAATAATAAAAAGTCTTATAAAAAACAACGCCCATTAAAGGCATGTGTGTGTATGAATGAATTTATTGAAACAAGTAAAATAAGTAATTATTGATAACATTGACGAAGAAACCAAATGTCAGTGTGACAACCTTCATGACCTGCACTCATATTAATACTTGCATGTAATTCCCAACCGAACGATGTAAACTAATCGAGTAAAGTGAGAAGTTTTGTTCGACTAGCGGTTGTTTCTTCATCAGTATCTGTTCATAGATGACCATATCTGCATATAAAAAGTTATCTGAACTAGAAAACCAAAAGAAAATAATATTATATAAAATTTATATTGATAATCTCTTTCTAAATAAATCTTTTCTTCACATTCAATTGCATTTGTATCAATAACTAGTTGGGCTTCAAGTATTAGCTCACGTGGAGCACCAATTAAACGTAATTTATCTCGTTCATTGGATGAAACAGTGAAAAAATACTGTTGGCAGTGAAAGAACATTGAAATAGAATATCCATGAATTCTTATCTTTTGGTTTTTTCGAAATATCAGTTGCCATCGTGAGACGCCAACTTTCATGATGCAACGCTGAAAGAATTGACATCCTAAACATAGATACATACAACATGAAGATGAAGTTACTCCGATAGAAACACACATCATAGCTCGAACCTCTACTCCTTTGAATCCTTGATCATGTCAAGGATATCCACTTAATTTGAATTCATAGGCACCTGTATATTCTCCCTCTTGTTGTAAACCACGATGCCAACTATCGAGAATAGTCTGTTGAACAACATCAATAATCTTTGTCGGAAGTCGAATCAATCGGAGAAGATCAGATCAATTAAGGGTGAGACACGCATAATGATGAAGAATATTACCTGATGAAAAGTTATGAGGGATATCTGTGTTAGTTTCAATTAGTTCATCTTTCGTCATTTTGCTATGTTAAAAATATACGCAATCAAGTAGTGATAAAAATTATTGCAGTGATTGTAATAGAAAACGAAAAAAAAGACATTTTCATAACGAGTGTCATGCTCAATGTAACGGTTATTTATCGCTACACTTTACTTTTCTGTTTTTAGTTTTAGTCTTCTGATCACATGTACATGGGCCATCAAATCAATACTGTATGTTCTACAATGTGCGAGATCTGGTTTGATTGGAACCACCAAAAAAGCTTGTGACAAAAATGTATCAAATGACAACACATATTTACCTATATATTTTATTTTCATGAACACTGAGTTTAACGCAGATGATCGCGCTACACTACAGTCACAGTATGACAAGTTCTACGAATTTCGTATGAAAACAAAGACAAATGAAAGATTTGATGAAATCAGTTCTCGTGCTTTAGTGTAATTGTCTGATTTTAGGTCGCGGAAGCAATTCAGCAAGAAAAATAATCTCTATCAGTGATATATTTCAAATTCTATAAACATTAGCTTCTAAAGATGAGTTTCGTCTGAAGTGCATTAGTGGATCCCGCGATTCGACATTGATTAGCATTACTTTCGATTTTGAAAAGATGCCCTGTTTTGTGCTTTACTGAAAAAAACACAGTACTGTAATGATACTTTGCAACACAAAAAAAAATACATTATTTATTTGTAGTTTTACTATTTATAAGTTGCTCATCTGTTTCCTGTCTATATATATTCTAGCTATTGATAGAAATAAGACACAGAGAAGACAAGTGAAGCGTAACGGTAAATAACCGTTACACTGATGAAGACACTTGATACGAAAATGTATTTTCTTTTTCGTTTTCTATTACACTTAATAACACGTTACTTTTGGCAAATCTTCATTGCGTGTATTTTTCACGAAAAAAAATGTCGAAAAATGAACTAATGAAAAATAGTTCTGCTGTTGCTAATGACTTTTCATCAGTTGACTCAGTTCATCAACGTGCCTGTCTTACACTTGATCGGTCTGATTGTCTACGACTCATTCGATTTCCAGTAAAAATTATCAATATTATTCGACAGGCTATACTTGATAGTTGGCCTCGTGGTTTAAAAAATGAAACAGAATATGCAGGCTCATATGAATTCAAGTTTCGTGGAAATCCTTGGCTCGGTCATGGAGCCGCAGCAGTAGAGTCTCGAGCTATGATGTATGTTTCTATTGGAGTAACTTCATCTTCATATTGTATCTATGTTTAGGATGTCAATTATTTCAGCGTTGTATCATGAAGGTTGGCATCTCACGACGGCAACATATGTTTCAAAAAGACAACAAGATAATGATTCATTGATTTTCTGTCTCGATGTTCCTCCACCATTAACATCATTTTTTGCTGTTTCATTCAATGAACGAGATAAATTACGTTTGATTGGTGCTCCATATGATCTAATATCTGTTGTTCGCGAAACTATCGGCACAAAAGATATTGAGCGTGAAGAGTGGATTTATTCAGAGGCAGCTTATCAATTTAAATTGTATATGATATTATTTTCTTTTGATTTGCTAATTCAGATAAGTTGTGATTTGCAGGCGTAATCATCCATGGACAGCCATTGGTTACGAAATGATCGCTATTCGAATGAAGCTTCTCGATTTACTCGATTGTTTTGCATCGTTTGGTTGGGCATTACATGCAAGCATTAATTTGAGTACAGATCATGATGGTTGTCATATTGATACTTGGTTTTTTCGTCAAAGTAGTCAATGAGTATTTATATTATATGTCAAAATGCAAAACATTCAGACATAAATCTTAAATAGACGATGTTTTCTTAAGACTTTGTCTTCTTGCAATAAAACTTCTTTGACATGTAAGATGATTTATTCTTATATTCAGATAACTGTTGGCGGTTGAATAAGAGAATCTTCGGCAGGTTTCTGCTCATAGAAGGAATTCAATGATCCGATACGATGGATGCAGTTTTCCAGTTGAGGCCGTAACTAGGCTGTGACAGCCATTGAATTCATCCTTCGAAGTTCTTACCACCTTGCCGAGTTCTTGACAAACAACAGTCAATTTTTTTAGATCTGGGTAAGTTCTCGTTTAGTGATGAAGGCAAAATTCAGGTCTTTGAATTCATTTTGATATCTGTGCGATTTCTAAAGTTAAACTATGAAAGAAACTAGTATATAATAGAAGACTCTAGAATATATTGCAAAGAAGAAAATTTCCTAGATCTTGCTGAGTTCTATATTAACGCCATTAAGTAAAGACTGTTCTTTAAGTTTTTAAGGGAGTTTGATGAGCGATGACTGACTGTTTTATTCTTCAAAATCTATTGAAAAGGATTCGAAAAGTTTATCAAATTGATCAAACAAGTGATTCAACGTGAACTTCTACATTGGACTAAACTATATTCAAATAAATTCATCCAAACATAATTAGTACGAAGTCATCTCCATAAAGACTCAAGCAATCAAGAGTTCCTTTTTTTATATGCAGGAAAAATATTTTCCATGATTATTATTCTGCTGTTCACATCTCATGATTTTCATCATGTTAAACCTACAATTTTATGTCCCATTATATGAATAAAAGATTAATACTATACATAAATTAAAGATGTACGGTAACACACAATTTTTATTGAGATATGTGATATAAAACATCATGCAACATAAAAAAAAAAACCTTGTTTATGGTAATAAATTACTTTTAAAAACAATTTGAAGAACAATAATAGAAAAAACCAAGACTAGTGAATTGAAGATAATAGGCGGTAGTGGCCAATACGAGTTTGATTTCGAGATTCGATTTGACCGCGTTGATCGATTTTTTGACTCGACCCTAGCTAGCGCGCGCTGAACTCTGGTATCGACTAAATTTCTCTTTCTCTTGAGAAAATCAATTTCTGAATCTTATTCTTTTCTACTTTTCATTTCATAGTTGGAGATAGAGGATATGTTCTTGGCATCTTTTCGTCATTGATAGTTCGTCGATACTCTATAATTAGGTAACACGATTATGAGATAGATTTTTTCTGGTTTATCAACCTTTTCTTACGTACACATCTGTTATTTTTATATCACCATTGAACAGATAGTGTGTTCGTTGTGCATCGTTGTCTGATGTCAATAAAGAAAATCTGATGAAGCGGGAGAAAAGATTGTGTGATACATAACTTCTGCTCTTTAGAAAGTTTGAATTATTTATCCTCTTATACAACAATTGTAAATCATCTATGAAGCGTTTTATATCTATTTTTTCTACATGACAATAGGTTTAATTTTTTGATGAAGCCAAAAATATAACTTGACAGTAGTACTTGTTTGCATTATCTGTATGAAAAAAAAATCTGAAATAAACTTTTATCACTAACGAAAGACATCAGCTCACTGGAGTGATCCGAAACTGAGATATTTCAATGTTTTATTGTGGTGATACTTATAGCTCTCTCTAAATATATTGTAAACTTCCTGGTTCTATTTTTTACACTTTTTCTTTGTTGAAACAACTTTTAAAATAATTTATTACTATAAACAAAGTTTTTACGTTATGTGATATATTATATAAAATATGCTAAAAAAAGCAAGAAAATTTTTTGTTATTACTAAAAACTACATATAACTATCGACCTTGCATTTGTGTAAGTATGTCATTTAATGGATAATTATTCTAATTATATGAATCCATATAAAGGCCATGTCAGAAAAATGTAATATTCTCAAGTTTCATTTTACTTTAACTCTTTCCACTTTTTCTTTCTGAATAAGTTCTGTTAGCATGAATACCTGAGAAAATGTTTGTACGTTCCGCTGACTATTAATTAAAAACTAATTAGCGAGTATCTCTTTAATCGTACAAAAAAAAATGCGAAAATTTCAGGATAGACTTTGCGGTACGAATCACATCTACGATGAAATTTTTGACAAGAATAGGCTGTAACAATGTTCTTTCGAATACCGACGTTCTAGAGACTCTATTAAGTCTCGAAACAAAAATTTTCACCCTACCATCCTTTTCTCATCGAATCATAAAAGCATTTTTTGGTTTGTTTATTCGTAATCGATTACGTCACTTAGAAGTAGTCTAGAGAATGGAATATTTAGTTTTCAAAACTTCTACTTCGATTAGGAATTTTTAAATTTTTATTGCATTAAGTAAAAGTAGATATTCTTTTTCGCAAAGACATTTATTGAAATGACTAAAAAGCATTAAAAAAAACACAACATTTTTTTAACATTTGTATATGGATGTTTGAATTTTGACAATTGATATAATCAATTATTGATTAGTTCGACGAAAAAACCAAGTGTCAGTATCACGACCTTCAAAACCTATACTCATATCAATACTTGCATACAATTGCCAACCGAACGATGTAAAACAATCAAGTAAAGCCAGAAGTTTTATTCGACTAGTCACTGCTTCGTCACCATCAGCTTCCCATGGATAACCGACTCTAAAAGTAAAAAATTGTAGGAACTAGATATTTGAAAAATAATATTATATACAATTTGAATTGATAAGCTGCTTCTGAATAAATCCATTCTTCTCGTTGTATTGTATCTTTATCAATAGTTTGCTGAACTGCACGTATTAGTTCATGTGAAGCACCAATCAAACGTAATTTATCTCGTTCATTGAATGAAACAGCAAAAAATGATGTTGATGGTGGAGGAATACCAAGTTGAAAAATCAATGAATCTTTATCACTTTTTTTCTTGGAAACATCAGTTGACGCCACAAGATACCAACCTTGGTGATACAAAGCTGAAAGAACTGACATCCTAAGCATATATACAAGATAAAGATGAAGCTAACTCAATAAAAAACATACATCATAGCTCGAGCTTCTACTGCTTCACTTCCTTGACCGTGCCAAGGATATCCTTTTAATTTAAATTCGTATGCACTTGCATATTCTTTCTCGTTTTGTAAACCCCATGGCCAACTAGTTTGAATAGCCTGTCGAACAACACTGATAATTGCTGCTGGAAATCGAATGAGTCGTAGACGATCAGACCGATTAAGGGTGATACAAGCATGTTGATGAAATGAATAATCTCGTGGTAAATTATTAGCCAAGCTCGTACTTATTTTATTCAGCGTATTTCTCGACATATTGTTAAGTTAATAATATGGGCAATGAAAGTTTGATAAAAAAAAATATTTTATTCAATGTAATAGTGTTAGCTCGCTTCGACGAACTTAACTTTGTTTATTTATTTCATATGTTAAATCTCTTCAAAAATGTCCTTAAATCACTAGGTATATATACATCCATAGAGAGAAGGAGAAGAACGAGAGAGAAAGAAGGAGAAACAACAATAACAATACAGTAGAACGAAGAAGGGAGAGAGAAAGAGATAGAGAATCGAGGGTAGGCAGAATGTGAGTCACCGTTAACAAATAGATAACGAAAAAAGAAAATATTCTGCCCATCAAGATTCATCATGTGCTCTTCTCAGCATTTTTTTGTTTGTATGGTAATACGTGAAATATATCTGAGAAAGACAAATACTAACGATTAGTTTATACTGTTTTTTTTACATTGTATTCATAAGTAGTCAGTGGAGTTTTCACTATCAAGGAAAGTCCTTAAAGTGATAAACCGCTTTGGAATTGAAACTATACGCATTCTGTAGACCAAATGAGTTATGAATATCTTGAAAAGCACTCATGCTCTTAGATTATTACTTCTGCAATAGTACACTTTGAGAGTATTTTTTAAATGAATGTTGTGATTCTTCTCACGAACATCAGACAACCTGGTTTTTGAATTTCGAGTCGAAACTTCTCATATGTAGAAATATTCGTAAATGAGGTTAGTTTATTGTGAAAATGTCAGATCTTTTGATTTGCTTCTATCCTGGATTAAAAGAATAAAATTTGTCAACTCATATGAGCGATGTGAAAGATATGCTATGACCATAGTTGTATCTCAGGATAGGAACATCAACAAGACTTGAAATATTTACTAAAAGCTCTTCTCGTCAAGGCCTGTTTCAATGAAAAATTTGAATTTGCAATTTGCTAATTACTTTGTTCTAGTTATTCTGAAGGAAGTCTTGACATTCATTCAAAAAAATACCACAAATATACACTGTCACAGCAGTACACTTGGTATTGGTCAGGTTTTTTCTCTGCTAGAACGACCGAACAATTGAAATTCTTGACTTAACTTGTAAGAAACCGATGAAAACCGATCGATGTAGTTTCAAGTGTGCGTCACAGCAATAAGCTAAGAGTAAAAATTCTTTTTTTTTAGCGTACCTTATTAAGCTGACTCGGACGCAAAGAAATTTTAGCCAAAATATGAACAACTCATTAATTTTTTAACGATGACAGTTATAATAGACCTTTTAGAACCTTCATGAAGTCGTATAAGTCTACTTTTTCAAACAGAATATATAGTGGATGTGTATAAATCAAAAAAAAAGAAATAAATAAACAATTAATCGAGAATAGATGATATATCACTAATACAATCGTCCCCGTTTCTCTTCTAAAACATAAGATATCATTGACACCTCATTCACACAAAACAGAAAACAAAATGTTTAAGTCCTACTGCTTCTCATTCATGCGATAATTTTTTTGACTGTTTTCATGAAAGGAATTGATATTTCTAAGCTTTTTTTCGGTGCATTTTAAAATTCGTATGATTTATGTCTAATTTTTTAATGTTGACTCTTGAAAAATAATAATTTTCAGAACAAAATCTTCTGTATCAATAATTTTGTTTAATGACCATTTTCTGGAATTTCTGTAATCGTAAGAGATAACATAACAGAGATCATCACAGGGCATTTTTTTGCCCTATTCTGTTCTCAGGACATGTAAACTGAAGTCAACTATGCAATTCATTGGTAACATACTGAATAAATTTTATCATGCTTATATTCAGTGCTCATATCTTTTTTATATCATTTTAAAAGAATGTTACTCATGTATCTATTCTTGATGAAGAAATAATTCTTTTTTAATGCAATATCTTACCTTTTGTACCATGAGTGCATGGCACTAGTAGTATATACATACAAAAATAAGACATTCCTCAATGAAACTAGGACCTTTTGTGAGTGAGTATCGTCCTTGAATTGAGTCAATATCTTTCATCACCATTCAGCAACAGATCGGTACTCATTTTATTATTCTTTGCTTCACGTACTTATAAGAATGTGTGAGGGTGTAATGTGAATGTCACCGTAAAGAAGAAAACATTCAAACCCGCTCGCATACACACCCACATTCACATCAGCACCAATACCCACACTCTTTCATTCAATAGTAAGAATTTTAAAAAAAACATGTTTATTAACATGTCTCATGGATGATTGCATACTGGCAAATAATATGAATAATCATTGATTACTTTGGCGAAATCAAGTGTCAGTATCATGACCTTCGTAACCTATACTCATATCAATACTTGCATGTAATTGCCAACCGAACGACGTAAAACAATCAAGTAAAGCGAGAAGTTTCATTCGACAAGTGCCTGCTTCGTCGCCATTGTTAACCCATGGATAACCACGCCTACAAATAAAACTTTGCATCGACTATGATCTATTTCAAAATAAAAGAATAGTGAGTAGTTTTGGAATCATTTTTGATAAGAACTAAATAGAAATCTGCAGATATCAATAAGTAAAAGATCAAATGAAACTGCATCGAATCATGTAGACTAGACATTTTTTATTAGCAAGTTTTCTCAGAATCTGCCATCAAGTTTCTTAACAACGAAACATTAGGTAATGTAAAATTTTGAGGATTTGAATTTTCAGAAGTTTACTAGTCTCATAAAATAAAGGTCTATAAATTAGTTAGATTCGATGTTGTCAAGTTTAATCAATCATGATTTTTAAATATTGTACTACTTGCTATTGGCAGATTTTTAACAAAAAATTGACTTTTTTCTAATTTTTTGATGAAAAATTCACCTTATAAATCTACTTACAGAGGTCGATTTTTAAAAAAACTTTGCGCAAGACCCTAAGAAAACTTCTCATATAAAACTGGTTAATACAATTCGATACAGTTTAATTCACTCTTTCAAACGGTGAGAACTTCAGATCTCTCTTTTGTTCCTATCAAAAATGATTCCAAAACTACTCACACTTTTTTTTTCTAAAACGCATAATAGATCATAGCAAATAATACGATGTACAGTTTAAATTGATAAGCTATTACCAAATAAATCCATTCTTCGCGTTGTATTTCATCTGCTCCAATAGTTTGCTTTACTGCATGTACTAGTTCATATGGAGCACCAATCAAACGTAACTTATCCACTTCATTAAATAACACAACAAAAAATGATGTTGATGTCGGAGAAATACCGAGTTGAAAAATCAATGAATCCTTATCTTGTTGTTTCTTAGAAACATCAGCTGACATCAATAGATATCAACTTTGATGATATAAAGCTGAAAGAACCGATAACCTATGCATAGATACAAGATGAACATAAAGTTAATTCGACTAAAAAACATACATCATAACTCGCGACTCTACTACTTCAGCTCCTTGACTGTGCCATAGGTTTCCATTAAGTTTAAACTCATATGCACTTCCATATTTGCTCTCTCTCTGTATGCCATGAGGCCAACTAGCTTGAATAACCTGTCGAACAACACTGATAATCGTTGCTGGAAATCGAATAAGTCGTAGATGAATTAGTCAAATTAAGTATGAGGCATGCATGCTAATGAAGTGAATAAGCCGGTGGCAAGCCATTAGAAATACCGGCACGGTTTATATTTCGTTCATTGTGCCACATTTCATTAAGATAACGATATACGCAATGAAGGTTTGGTAAAAAAAAAAGAATACTTTAGCGATTGAAATAGAAAACGAAAATGACAATCTTCATGTAATATGAAATCTTCTGTCATTCTGATTTTATCTTCAATTCTATGGTAAAAATTGGAATAAATTTAAGTTAAATAAACCTTACAGATTGGTCTATACTTTTTTGCGCTCCATTTATAAGGAATAGGTAGAGTATTGAGTAAAGCATATTCGAAACCCATGTCAATATGCGCTGATAGAAAAAGTAGTGCTCTATATGTCTTCATTCTTCAATTGACATTATATCGGTAACAGCTGTCTGTCATAATATATGACGATAAGAGTAAAGTCATTTTTTAAGGAAAAAAATGTGACTGTACATGTTTTGGATAGCTTCTGATAGAATCAAGATAAAGAATAGTGAGTTTCACTTGTAGAAAGCAGAGATGAAAACACATCGAATTGTATATTACAGGTTTTTCATCTGGTTATTTTTTGAAGTTTTTAGCTGATCTTTTTAAAAACAAACCTACTCGTCGAGGTGTTTGCCGTGGAATTTTCAATAATCAGGTTTGCATTCAAAATCCCAATTAATGATGAGTATCGATCAGAAAAATTCGCTCAAATAAAGTGCTTTATAACAAAAATTATTAAATATCAATAAAAGATCTATAAAATTGCACAAAGCTCACAGATTTCATCATTTAGTACTTATATAAGTATTGTACCGCAAATTTCAAGTCGTTTTTTCTACGAATTTGTGTTTTAAAGGAAGCACTTTGTGACCTTTTTGTCTTTGATAAAAAATACCATATTCAGACACGATTTTAAAAAATCGATTGAAAAAGCATTCGGAAAACATATTGAAGACTAAAAACGCCCAAGTTCTAATGTATTGATCTAATATCCTTAGAATACTTACGAAAAATAATAGTTAAATGAAAAAGAAACCTAGCCGATGAACAGATTATAAACGCTGAAAAAGCAAGAAATCGTTTGGCAAATTCGAAATAAAATAATAAAAGCCTCAACTCAGACGACTAAGCTAAACCAATAGAAACAAAAGATAAAAGGTGCTACTAATAAATAACAAATTAATACAAACAATACTTGTCTTTCTAATAGTTATATGCATCATAACAACTGGAATTTCTTTTTCCAAATAAAAATTATTCGATTTGCAGATTTTCATGAAGTTATATCGAAAATGATTTTTACTATCCATTTCAAAATTTATAGTGCTCCTATGTTTTTTGAGTAACTTTTGATAGAAAAACGATAGAAAGCTGCGCTTTCAGTATTTAAAAGAGAAGACCTAGGTCATCGAATTATATCGAAATTTGATTGATCGGTATTTAATTAATTAGATAATTTCTTGATGTAGATCGTCAAAATCAATATTTTCAATCCTTTTTTTCCTCTGGTTTAGGCTTTTAATAGGATTAGTCAGTGGAAAATAACTTTTCTACTAAAACAGTCATAAAAAACTCGAACGCGGAGCTAGTTAGAAATGTTAGTCTCCCACGAACGGAAAGAAAAGAATTTTTCCTATAAATTAGCGTTATTGAAAGTCTAAATCGAAATGAAAACAACTTATGAATATAGTTTTTGAACATTTTCTGTATAAGCTCCTCTGATGACTTAACTATTGGTCAATAAAATTCTGATATATTAAATCGACGGTGTCAAATTTTCTCTCTCGAATGATGAATATCGTTAACCTTCATGATGTTTCTATCGAAATTTGGGATGTGTTCGTGATGCACAAGGATGATGTACCACAATCCACACTAACAATGTGATTTATTTTTACTCTTACATGATTCGTCCTGTTATTGGAATAATAATAAGTCTTAAAAAAACAACGTTCATCTCGGATGTGTGTTCGAATGTTTGTATTGATCGTAAATAATATAAATAATTATTGATTAGTTCGACGAAAAAACCAAGTGTCAATATCACAACCTTCATAACCTATACTCATATCAATACTTGCATACAGTTGCCAACCGAACGATGTAAAACAGTCCAGTAAAGCCAGAAGTTTTATTCGACTAGTCACTGCTTCATCACCATTGCCTACCCATGGATAACCACGCCTGCAAGTGAAACTTTACATAGATTAAGTTATAGAAAATGATATTATATACAATTTGAATTGATAAGCTGTGTTTGAATAAACCCATTCTTCTCTTTGTATTTCATCTGTACCAATTGTTTGCTGAACTGCACGTATTAGATCCTGTGGAGCATCAATCAAACGTAATTTATCTCGTTCATTGAATGAAACAGCGAAAAATGATGTTGATGGTGGAGGAATACCAAGTTGAAAAATCAATGAATCTTTATCTTGTTGTTTCTTCGAAATATCAGTTGCCGTTAAAAGATACCAACCATGATGATGTAAAGCTGAAAGAATCGATAACCTACACATAAATACACGATGAACATGAAGTGAATTTGATAAAAAGCATACATCAAAACTCGAGACTCTACTGCTTCACTTCCTTGACCGTGCCAAGGATACCCATGAAGCTTGAATTCATATGCACCTGCATATTCTTTCTCTCTCTGTATGCCATGAGACCAACTAGCTTGAATGGCCTGTCGAACAACACTGATAATCGTTGCTGGAAATCGAATAAGTCGTAGGCGATCATTCCAATTAAGTGTGAGACATGCATGTTGATGCAATGCATAACCTGGTGGTAACTCATTGGCAATTGTGATACCGATTTCATTAAATTCCTTTTTTGACATTTTGTTGTGTTAATTATATACGCAATGAAGGCTTGGCAGAAAGTATTTTGTTGAATGTAATGGAAGACAAAAAAAAGAAAATGTTTTGGATATTAAATTTGATCTTTCACTATTCTCGGTAAATTTTGAGTTGCATGGTAAAACTTGGAATACATCTGGGTAAGATAGACACCTCCGATTGGTGTACCGTCTTTTAAAATTACACTTATCAAAAGTGAGTAGAGTACTGAGTATTAAGAGATATTCGTGAAGTGATAAATCGCTGTTGAGTCAAGACTATGTATATTATGTAGACCAAATGAGTTATGAATATTTTGAAAAAGTTCGTACTGTTATCATATTGCTGCGGCGATAATATATTTTGACGGTATTTTTTAAACCAATACTGTAGTACATCACTGTGACATCAGACAATCTAATTTTTCAAATTTTTATTTGAAGCTTTTCATAGAGACAAACTTTTAAATTGAAAATTTCAAAATCAGTTTTTTCTGGTGACCCTGAGGACTATGATGATATTTATTAAAAAGGTACCACAAATATGCAGTACTGCTACAACATGCTTGATATCGATCGGATTTTTTCTCAACCGAAACGACCGATCATATAAATTTCTTCACTTAACCTGTGAGAACCGACCTATCTAGTTCCATGCATATGCCTTAGCAATGACTTACAAACCCAAACTCTTTTCAGGATATCCAAGATGTGGATGTATATGTGGATATCAGTGTACAGAAGAAAGCACCCACACTTTTTATGGCCTATCCATCGGTATATAATTCATTAAGTTTGCGACAAGTAACAAGTACATGCATCAAGAAACATGTGTAAAATGTAGTAATCATGATCTTAAGCCTGTAAATCTCTACTAAAATCACTTATAACATACCGGGTGTTGCAAAAGTTTTGCAACATTGTTTATTTTGCATATATCTCGGCTTGAGAAAATGATAAAAGCTTGATTTTTTTTTGGAAAAAATGCGCTATGAAAAGCTCAACAAAAACTGTGTAAAGAGATTCTTATTCACTTGTTCTGATGGTTTTCCCATACTCAATATGAACAACCTACATAATAGTGCTACTTCCCAGCGTATTGAGCATAACAAAAATGTTTGGAAGACGTTTTTTGTTTTGCAATAGGGATTTGTTCATACAGCTTGTGTAGAGCTTTCTACGGTGCATCTTTCAAAAGAAAAATCAAGATGTTATCATTTTCGCAATCCGAGATATATGCAAAACAAAAAAGTCTTCCAAACATTTATATTATGCTGGAAAGTAGCACTATCATGTAGGTTGTTCATTTTGAATTTAGGAAAAATCATTAGAACAAGTCAATAGGGGACTTATTTACACAGGTTTTGTAGAGCTTTTCACGGCGCATCTTTTCAAAACAAAATCAACATTTTATAATTTTCTCAAATCGAGATATATGCGAAATAAAAAAATGTCGCAAACATTTTAGAGCACCCCGTAACAACATCACGCAGATATTCACTCTAGAAAAATCACCAAAACAAGTCAATAGGGATCTTTTCATACATCTTGTGTAGAGCTTTCGACGGCGCATCTTTCAAAAAAATAGTCAAGATGTTATCATTTTCTCAATCCGAGATATATGCAAAACAAAAAATGTCTTTCAAACATTTTTATTACGCTGGGAAGTAGCACTATCATATAGGTTGTTCATATTGAGTGTGGGAAAACCATCAGAACAAGTGAATAGGAGTCTCTTTATAGAGTTTTTGTAGAGCTTTTCAGGGCGCATCTTTTCAAAACAAAATCAAGACTTTATCATTTTCTCAAGTCGAGATATATGCCAAATAAAAAATGTCGCAAAACTTTTGCAACACCCGGTATAAGGCATAGTTTATATCTGCATCAACTTCATTTCTATACGAAAAAATCATGTAGATTCGATTAGACTGATTTATCAAGAAATCGTCACGCTTTCTTTTTACCATATGCTGGCGAAAGAAATTATCCCGTGTTAACCTTTTCATATATCTTTTGCATTATCAGACCAATGTTTAAATATTAGTGATATATTTAATCAAACAATTTTATATGAATAAACATATTTAAAACGTTTGAAATGCTATTATTCACCTTGTTCAATGAATAGAAAATTCGAATACTTCTATCATGGATGTCAAACATGTTTTCGTACTGAAGATAGTCATAGTAATTGGTTTAATTTTGATCACGAATATAGTAATTGTGACTAATATAAAATTGTTGTTTGTGTATAAAACGAGCATCATCTCTAGATCATTATAATTCTGTTTGTTTATGTTCATTATGTCCATTTTGTTCTCTTTGTCGATGACCTACGAATAACATTTGATATGTTAGTGTGAATAGAAATGAAACAAAGAAATATTAATTTTATTTATTCACGATCTATGTTTCAGATAACTATAACATTTCTTATTATAATAGTTTTTTTATGGTTCTATTTCAAATATAGTTGATATAGTTATATTTTCGAATAAAAAACTTCAAGAAGTTAGTTGTGAATTATATTTTATTATTCTTATCAAGTGTCAGCTAATGTAGTCTTATTTTATAATTATATATATGATCATTATTCAAATGTATATTAGTGAAAATATTTTATTTCATTTTATTTGATTGGTTAATAGTTTGTATTTTCTTTGGATGAAAATATACAATTATTAAAGCTGTTCATCGCACAAAACAAATTTTATTAAAACGTTTAAAAATTGCTTATTAGTCTATTTTCATAATGATATTGTACAACATTACATCGTCCATTTTATTTAATCTTGATTGATAAATCAACTATAGATGATGGTACACTTCCATATCTACTTATATATGATATTTTTGTTTTCTAAACTTTAATATGAAGTTATCTATTTGCATGATTGTAATAAGTTTTTAGTATTATTAAGAGTAAAAAAGAATTGATAAAGAACAGATGATAACAAAGAATACTTTAGATCACAAAATATTTCTATATTTATTTTGATAGTTATAGTCAATGAAAAATAAACTTATAGTTTATAGTTACATGAAAAAAGTACTCAGTGGATTTGTAATGTAATTGATTTCTAGTTGAACGAAACAATATTTTCATCAATCCATTCATCTAACATATGTTCTATATCTTGATTAGACTTTTGATGAGAAAGCATTTTTTTAATCAATGATGTAGCGAAGTTTTTTTGTTTATTATCCACAACAGCATATACGATAATAACGATTAATTGATCTTGAAAAATTTTTGATTTTATCTTAGTAATTATATCAACAGATTGATTGTTGTTGAAATCATTTCGATTTATTTCTAAACTGGAATCAGAAATAGACGAAGTACCTTGAGCTAAAATATGCAAATTTTTTGTGATGAGTTCTTGAACTGGAATTGGCATATCATTTTTTATCAAATGTGATTTTAAATAAGTAATTCCATCATTCGATGATATTTCTGATATGTAGAATTTTGTTGAAATTACTTTCGCATCAAAATGTTGTTCTATTTTTAACCATTTTTTACGTTTATGATCAAGATTTCCATTCTTTATTGTACTTGTATGTTGTACAACTGGTAACGAAACAGAAACATCTAGAAACAGAGATTAAAAATATACTTATTATATTATATGAAAAGTAATTTTGGAATAAATAAACGACGTACTTAAGTTAATTATTCCAACACCACTATCATCTCGTTGAGACGTCTATAAGGAATCAATTAATGTTATTAAAAAAAAAAAAGATAAATATAATATGTGAAAAATATTTCCTTACTTCATTTGGTTCTAACTCCTCTAGGAATAGATTCAATCTTTTGGAGTTTAATAGTAATTGAGGAAGAATATCTTCGATTAGAATTTGCTTTGTATTCTCGTCATTTGTTTTGTACATTATGACGTATTTAGTTAGATCAATGGGTAAGTATTTTTGAATAGTTTGACGAACATTGACTAGACTATCAGTTGTTTTCAAGGGTACGACAAGTGTCATATTATCTTTGAACACATTGGCAATAACTTCCATTATGCTGTCAACTTTTGTGTCTAAAAAATGCTTCTATTTCTTATTCGAAAACTAAAAAAGAAACCAGATTTCTTCTTGATCATTCTTTTTTGTCTAATTCTCACATAAAGCTTCAAAACAAAAAAAAATAAACGTTACTCACCAGTTCGATTGCTTATTAAAATATGCAAAAAACCGTTTATTGATTAGTTCAATATTTGGTTTAATCTGTGACTGATGATATAAACAGAAATTATTTTACATATTTATGAGACTGATATATATAGAGCAAAAATTTTAAACTGAGTCAAATAGCACATGGATTGTGTAACTAATTTGATGAATATTGCCGTATTTTTTTAAAGCAAAGTATATGCAATATAAATAAGTGAATAATCAAGGTTAAAACAACGATGAATTGTCGTATATTATTTTTTCTCGAAGTGAATCACGCCAAAAACATCAGATGAATGATTGATGTTGAAAAAAAGTGTCGTGTACAGTTTTTCGTCTTTCCTCTACTTTTATATACAAATATTTATTATAACATAAAATAAACAATGTTTTGTTGACGTACCACAATGACATTTTCATACCGAGCAAGTTTGAGTGAAATGACAACTATCTGATCTGATTATAGAGAAAATTCTCTGATTATTGTCAGATCTTTGTCTAAGTATCGATGAAAGAAAACAATTTCGACAAGTTTCTCATCAACAAATGTTAGAATAGAAATCGGCCTAAGGATGAATATAATTTGACGATTCTGGCATTGTATAATATGTTGAGCAAGTAAATCATGACCAAGAAGAATTAAGACATACGGAATGAGACTTTCCTTGTTATCGAAAGAAAAATTTAACCATTATCACTAGAGCAATTTGCATTCACATTTCATTATACAGATGCACAACTATGCATCTATTTATAAATTACTCTTGAAAAATATATGCACAACTATCTTATCTTTTCAATCTATACAATAAGAATAAAAGGTTTTAGTTTGCTGTCCATGAATAGTTTTGACTTTGTAGTTTGACTTCTACGAAAATCAGCAATCATTATTTCGAACATTGAGATACATTCATTGTGGTAGCGTAATCAAAGGAGAGGGAGCCTACGCTTTGATATAAATAAAATCCTGACTACACCACTAGTTCGTTCAATGCCCACATAAGTTGCACCGGTGACACAGTTGCCATCACAAGCCGCAATATCTAGTGATCATATGTTGAACTATTTCTGAGTTTTTATTTTCAAATTCTTTGTTTTTTCATGCTTTGTTCTACGAGTTTGAAAATTTATGACGAATTAGCAGATGAGATTACAATTATTTATCTGTGGATTTTAAATGAAAAAATCTCCATGTGCATCATACTCAAATGTCAAGTTCGCATTGACTTTGACACATAGACTAGGTGTTGTTGATGTCTACCTGAAGTGGCAAACTTAAAAGTTCAATCGAATTATTATATCTACAAATCGGTGTTTCGTAGTTTCTTAGTCAATGCGATGTTATTTGATCAATCAAAAGAATATCAGAGATTTTGAATATTTGCATACTAGAATAGTTGAAGATCTGTTTTGTAAGGTTGTTAGGTTCAAGTTCGACATGTACGATGAAATGAGAATGATAAAACGATGCTGGAATTCGTTGAGATATATCGTTTCGCAAATAAGATGCTGAAAGCAAAGATGGACTATGCCTTTTCTCTATTTAGTCATTTCAGGAGTTCAATGTTCATAAATACTAGAGATTGAATTAAAAGCTTTAAATCGTACACAGTCTAATAATCTCAAAGATGAACGTAAATAATAATGACGATTTCTAAAGTAATTTTCTCTAGTAACCCCTCTTTTTGAAAATCATTTTATTACTTTTGATCTTTGATTAGTCGCAATCAGGCATTGTTTTAGACAATCGATTAAAAAACAATTCAGACAACATATCGTTCTCAATAATATCCAGCAGGAATGGACCTGATTGCTCAATTGCTGACGAACCAACTTTTGATATGCTTCGATAGCTTCAAGTCATCTCTCTTGAATGAAGATGAGCTACAGATTTCTATGACATTTCTATTCAAAGTTATTCAATAAACAGTGGAGCACATTCTCTTTTGAAATCAATGGTAACATAAAAGTGGAACTAACAGAGATAATGGCAAAATGCAAGAAGATCTACACCAACACTATCTCTTTGTTTTTACTTTTAAATAGTTCATTCTTTTATTGGAATAGTAAAAAGTCATATAGAAACAATGCTCAGTTAAGATGTGTGTGTTATTGCTTGCATTTTCACAAGTAATATGAATAATCATTGATTACTTCGACGAAAAAACCAAGTGTCAGTATCACGACCTTCATGACCTATACTCATATCAATACTTGCATGTAATTGCCAACCGAACGATGTAAAACAATCAAGTAAAGCCAGAAGTTTTATTCGACTAGTCACTGCTTCGTCACCATCAGCTTCCCATGGATAACCGATCCTAAAAGTAAAAAATTATAGGAACTAGATCATTGAAAAATAATATTAAATACAATTTGAATTGATAAGCTGTTTCTGAATAAATCCATTCTTCTCGTTGTATTTCATCTTTACCAATAGTTTGTTGAGCTGCACGTATTAGTTCATTTGGAGCACCAATCAAACGTAACTTGTCCCATTCATTCAATGACACAGCGAAAAATGATGTTGATGGTGGAGGAATACCAAGTTGAAAAATCAATGAATCTTTATCACTTTTTTTCTTGGAAACATCAGTTGACATTAGAAGATACCAACCTTGATGATGCAAAGCTGAAAGAACTGCCATCCTAAGCATATATACAAGATAAAGATGAAGCTAACTCAATAAAAAACATACATCATAGCTCGAGCTTCTACTGCTTCACTTCCTTGACCATGCCATGGATTTCCATTTAACTTGAATTCATATGCACCTGCATATTCTTTCTCTTTTTGTAAACCAGGATACCAACTAGTTTGAATAGCCTGTCGAATAACAGAGATAATGTTTGTTGGAAATCGAATGAGTCGTAGACGATCAGTCCAATTAAGTGTGAGACATGCATGTTGATGAAGTGAATAAGCTGGAGGTAAGTCATCAGAGTTAGTGGCACTGGTTTTATTTTGTTCATTTTTCCACATTTTGTTTAGTTTATAATTTGAGCAATGAACGTTTGGTAATAAAAGGTTTTATTGAATGTAATAGGAAAAAGAAAAGAACAATCTGCATTTAATATGGCATCTTCTGCCATTCTAATCTTATCGTGAGTTGTGTGGTAAAACTTGGAATATATCTCTGTAAAACAAAGATCAGGGATTGGTTTACTCTTTGCTTGTTCCGCTCGACTCATAAGGATTCGATAGAGTATTGAGGAAAACACACTCGGAAGACATCTCAATATGCGTTGATAGTCAAAATAATGCTTTATATTTCTTCATTCTTCACCTGATATCATATCAATAAGAGCTGTACGTTATGATATAAGATGATAATACCAAAGCCTTTTTCAAAGAAAAAACAATCATTCTATTCCTTTTTTGCCGTTGATAAAAAGAGTTATATTCAGATATTGTTTTAGAAAACCAATTAAACTCTGATTCGAAAAACATATTATAAAAGTCAATCATATACAATTCGATATGATTTCGTTTTGTTTTTTCTGAAGTTGAAATTGATCATTTTTATCTTAATTCTATCGAAAATTATTCAAAATACTTAAAAGTATTATTGGCACTTATCATGACAAATAGGACTCATCGATATGATATTTGTTAAAGAATAATGATATGTTGAAAAAAAAATAAATTACTTTTTGTATGCTTTAAGTGAGCTATTGAATTATTTTGTAACGGTGACTGTTAGATTATCCTTTTAAGAATGTTGATAAAGTTTATTAGTCCACCTTTTCAAACGGTATGTTTACCAGATGCGTCTAATTTAAGCAAAAAAAAACAGCTAATGTTGACTAGACGATATATGACTTACGCTTTTGTCCTAGTTTTTCTTCTACACTACAAAGGGCACTTAACAAGTTTTTTTCTCTTCAGCAATGTATGGTAGTATTCTGTTAAAATACGTCATGAAGATAAAGTTTGAGGTCTATTTTTTGCAAGAGCTGTAAATGGCTAAATAAAGCATGTGTAAACTTGAATTGCTATTTTTGAATCTAATATTGTATAGTTGATATTTCAAGTTTAGCCATAGGAAGAAGTTATATTCAGTTAAATTTGTGAAATATCATTTTGTACGCCCAATCACTCCAGAGTTCGGAATACCCAAAGTTTCGTATTCTCATATTAAAGACTGATCTTTTATAGGCTATGTTAGCCTAGACTCTTTAGAATACTGGCTTGATGTATTTTTCTGAACTTTTATTTCTATGAATTTTAACTAATGATGAACTGTTTTATAACAATCGAATTTCCAACTACGCTTCTTATTTTAAGAAGTCTTGAAGTATATAATGGCATAGAAAACAAACTCAACTTAGAAAAAAAACATGACATTGATTTTATGTATGGCTCTTCCATAATCTCAAACATAGCAATGATATATTTATAATCTATTTAAACATACATTGTTTCAGTATCAACATCGGAGATCTATGAATGACTTTCTGTTGTCTCACTTAAACGTTAAATATCATTGTAATATTATATTGATTAATATGTACAAATTTATATCAATTGATTTTTCTTTTCATTTGTTCCTCTCCGTTAAAAATAAACATCGTATTAGTAGCAAAAAAAATTGCAACTTATAATAACGGACTACGAAATATTCATCATCTATCTTTTTCTCAAAAAAAAAACAATATTTTAAATATTATGAATAATAGAAAAATATGTTTTAAACAATCTATTTATTGTTTCTTCAAGTAAAACATAATCAACTGATTATAAAATGACCATATTCAAAAAATAGTTGAGTTTGAACTAATGAAAATTTGATTTAACAGATCAATTTTTATATTTGAAAGATTGATAATAATATACAAACATACGACTTAAATAGGTATATAAAGTCAAGAAAATTTATTCGTTTTCTCATAAGGGATTAAAAGAAAAGCTCGAGTGATAGGCAATTCCTTATGCTCATATATTTACATTCGCCAATTTATTTTTTGACTGGTCACAATTTGGTCATTGTCACCAGTGGGTATTACATGATTCTAAAGAATAAAAAAAAAGTCATTGTCTATTTTTATTTGGTGCAGACAAACATTGCAACATACGTAAGATTGAATCAATTATTCAATATAATTTTTTTCGAATACAATAAAAAAAAGAACAACAAAAGAAATTTGATTAGCTAAAGTATTTGTGATGAACTAGTAATGAGAGTAGTCAATCAACGACAGCTGTAACACATAAAATTCACATGTACTCTATAATAATATAAAAGTAAACAATTTTTGGATTATATTCGCCTATTTATAAAGTAATAATGTCTAATAATGATGAGCTCTCGTAAAATTGTATGAAGACAAGAGGACAGCTTGACTCTTTCCGTTGAGGAAGGTCAATGTTCTTTCAATTTTTTTTTCGAGCATCATCATCCGTCGATGGTCAATATTGAAATTAGACTGTATAAGAGAAAGAGAGAGAAAGCGAATGATGGCAGTCGTGGTAGTCTTCTGATTGAAACAAAGACATATTCGTATACAAACACATATTTAGAATATAGATTATATGCAAATAGTCAATATAACAATGACATACACATACAATTTCTATCAAGCTGTTTTTGATTTCCAGAAAAAGAGAAAAAAAAATTCAGAAGAGAATGAATTCAATTTTCATCGACATCATCATCATCATCGTCATAATCACAAATTCTCATTACAGTACTGTTATTTATCAAGTATAATCATCACGACTTAAACACGTATATCTATCTATCTATCTATGAAATGCATTGAATCAATAGAAGTGTGTGTGTGTGTGTGTGAATTCAAGAATTTCAATTTACCGTCTTAATAGATATATATATATATACAAACATTCGTGTTTATTGAAAAAGAAAGAAAATTACTCTTTTGAAGACAAGCGGGTAGATATAGATGGAGGCGACGAAAGAGATCAAACAATCTACACATACAAATCTCAAGTCATTTCATCATATATACATATATTAATATATGCACTCGATCAGTCACAGTTGCTTGAACAATATAAAACAAAAGAGATCTTGTTAAATTCTCATCATCGTCTATCTCTACATACATATGAGTAATTGCTTGTCTCTCTCTCTCACTCTCATTCTCATTCTCTACAAATAAGTATATTTGGTGGTGAAAGTATGTCCTAAGTTTATCATCCTATCAAAATATTTAAAAATGATAAATGAACGACGATAAATCGGTTTTCAATGACATGCCAATGAAGCCTCGTACATGTAATCATAAATATATTTATATGCATTCTTCTTTTTTTTTATTTTATGCTTTATATAAAATAAATAATCGGACATCTGCTATTCTGTTTTTGTCTTTCGACATATAATAAATATATTCTCTAAACATAATCTAGTCCTTCTTTTGTCTTCTTCCAATTAAGAATGGCAGCAACAGCTTTGTCATTTGGAGAATTACTAATTAGGATGGTTCTGATGGAAAAAGAAATGGTCAACTTGTTTTTTCTGATCGTCTCGCGTCTGTAACAATAATAGAGTAACACACGCAATATGGATTATGATCATTGCGGCGCACAATAGAGATAATCGGATTGTGAGTATCAAGCACGTATACAATATATGCATGCAAGCATACATATTCAATGTCGTAGACTGACCTTTTGAAGACTCACAAGCTTAATTCTTTTTATCGGGAAAAAATATTGACATCCCACAGTTAGTAGTCGCCGTCGGACGCTCTAAGCATAAATATTGGCTACCTGAAAGAATAAAAATTGATGATCCGAATCGATCGACTGTTCCTTTTTTCTTTTTTTGAAGATGTAGATATATATATATACATGCAGACACACACGAGAAAAAAAAATGAGATTAACAGATCAAACATAAGAAGCACAATGGTCTGATGTTGTTCGTGTTCCATAAAGATTTTCAAAACGTTTTAAAGCTCCATCTGTATTCATATTATTTTCTATAAATCGTACATGTTTTGATGATAATTTTGGATTTGTTGTTGAAAGTGATGATGGATTAAGTAAAAGAAGATTATTCGATTGTTCAGATGACATATCACTCGAACAATAACATCCATCATCTGAACCAGTTTTTGTATCAATTGCATTCGTTGATATTGGACTACTTGTTGTTGATGATGATGATTGTGGTATATGCAATGATGTATCATTATTATTTGAATTATTAACATTTTCAATTAATTCCGATTGTCTTTTAAGTGGTAAATAATATGTATTTGGAAAGACATTCATTGTATCATAAAGAATCTAAAATATTGTCGCAATATGTTGCCTATATCATTTAACAAAAAAAAATTGTTTTTTTTCTTTTTTGTTTGACTTACTGCTGCACGTTCAAAATGTAAATCATCTGTAATACGTGTAAATTCTCCATTAGCTGTATGTTGTTGAAGATCATTCGATGATGTTGTTGATGATGTTGAACTAAAAGTTTTTTTTTCATTTAATATTGTATCAATATTATTATAATTTGTTGTTGTCATTGTTGTTGTTAAACTATTATCTTCTTTACATCGTTTAATTTTATATTTTATACAACATATTAAACATATAAATAATGATATAAATACAAATAAAATAGCTAGAATACCAGCAAGTATAAGAATATTTTGAGGATTTTGTTCAACATGTAACCATGATGATGTTGATGATAAAGAATTTTTTTTATGAATTGATGATATTAATTGTATTTGAACTAATATTGTTGATGATAATGATGGTTTACCATGATCACGTGCAACAACAATTATTTCATAATTTTCATATGTATTTGTATTTTTAATACATTCAATTAAACCAGTTGTTTCATTAATATGAAATAAATCTTGATAATTTGATAAAGAATATGTTATTCGACTATTTTCACTATTTAATTCATCACAATCATATGCATTTATTAGAAAATTAGTTATATTAGGTATCATAGTTGTTTGATAAATTGTTTGATTAAATGATGGTATACAATCATTTATATCAAGTATATGAATACGTATTAATTTTGATATTTTTTCATAAGGTGGAATAAGATGTTGAGCATTAATAAAAAATTCATAGAAATTTTTACGTTCACGATCAAGTACTTTTGTTGTTATTAATGAATATGATAAACCATTTGATTGAATTTTAAAATCTAGATCAGTTACATTTAATAACCATTCATTTGGAATAATATTTGTATCATTAACAATATTAATAAATGCAATAAAACTTCCAGGACTTTTACCTTCAGTTATTTCTATTGATGAATCATTTAATGATTGATGAAAAAATTGTGGATAACGAATATCAATTGCAATAGAATTAACAGAGGAAATTAAAATAAAAATGTATATTATTATCATCATTATCTATAATATACGAAGAAAAACGACAATATATACATGTATATATGTGCTTTTGTTTCTTCTTTTGAACATGTATAGAAATGAGAGATGTGTATATAATATGTTCAGCGGTTTGCTCTATTCTTTCTCTCTCACTCTCGTTTTTTTTCTTTCTCTTTAACGAGAAATTCTCTCTTCTCTCTCTCTCTCTCTCTCGCTCTCTCTTTGACTTCTTATAGATGATCATCATCATCATCATCGATCAATCTTTCAGTTGAAAAAAAAAAAAAAAAAAAGAAATTTGTTCTTGTCCCAACCAATATTTGTTTTCTTCGTACAGAATCTCAAATATTGAAACATTCAAAAAAAAACAAAACAAAAGAAAATGAGAAAAAAATTGTTTAAATTTTTTTTCCTTCTTCTTTGTCGCCTTCTTATCAACACTTGGCTAATTCGCACGATAAAAATATTGATGTAGGGAAACATCTTGAGACACGACACACAACCAGACATCGTGCAGATGTGTGTTCATGTGTGTGTATCTAAAGATATCATGATCTTTTAATTCATCTAAGACCTTGCTTGACTAATCTAACGACTTTGAAATTGATAGATGGGTGGAGAAAAGTAAGATCTTATTGTTAACGGAGTAATACCCGGGTATATTTTCGACATTAGGCTCTTGTTAATCATATAATTGCTTTTCTCCTCATCTAACAAAAGCTTTAGGGAAAGAAGAAGACGAAAAAGGAAGACGATGATGGCGGCAGCTGGAACAATGCACAAGCTCATATATTTATATACATAAGAGAGGCTTCTGAGAATGTATGTATGAATATATGAGCATTTTATTGGGCACTTACTCGTATTCGATTCACATAGTATGTGTTGTAGAACTGATGACAACTTGAAATGATCGACATTCGATCCATCTTTCTCCTATTCAGTTTTATTCTCTTATCGCACGCATGTAATGAGCTGTTCGATTGTATAGATGAGTATGAAAAGGTCTCACGCCAGGTTATCATCCGTGAATAATTCACTCGGCAATGTGTATAAGTGGATCGATATCATCCTGTGTGTCAACCTCATTAGACATTAACGGGTAGGAAAGAGAAAACAAACTTAACAACGAACATTCATTCGAATGATAATTCCATTTGCACGCTGCTAAACTAAGATGAAACATATATATACATACATTATTTTTTAGCAGCTTTATTTAGAACATGAATAAGAAAATAGAAAAGAGTGATGCAATTTAATTTTTTTTCTCCTATTCGTAATGTTTTTTTTCTTCGGGTATAAGAGATGAGCTCATTACATTATGTTTTCACTAGAGAGTTTCTTTTTTTTTTTCTTGCTACATATATATGTTACAAATAAGATTAGATATTCATTCTGAACAATCTCTTTAAAAATAGAAAATGATTGACTTAAGGCGGTTGTCTCCGCCCATAGGATCTATTTCGTTTTTCTTACTTTATTTGCTTCATAATTTTGTGAGATTGATATGAGATGAAGCAAGTATAAGAGAGTAGTTTGAACAGCGATTAACATTGATGATAATAATAAACTCTGTCTTTACCTACTTTACTGATCCCATATATACACTAGAATATAGTGCACTTGACAATTGCCTTGCAATGTTGTTAACGATGTATAAAAAAAAAAAAGAAAACGAATTGTTTACATTCGATCTCAATCAACTTGAATATGATGTCGGCGCCTCAAGGTCATCGAATAGATAAACCAGTCTCGATTCGTCATATTAAATGACAAAACATCATCTTATGTTTTGAATGATCCTTTTTTTTGTCCACCCCATTTCTCTCGCTCACTCTCACTCTCTCTCTCTCTCTTTTATTCTTTGTCTCATACTCAATCATTCACATCCATATACTCCCTTTCAAGTGAGTGTGAAAATGAATCAAAAAAGGAAATCCTGAATCGATCGATCGATCTATCGTTTCATTGTATTGTCATCAATTTTTACTTTACATATATATATGTATGCTTGGAGCAACAAAATAAATTAACAAAGCACAGCTTGGGTACAAGGCGGCAAACATTAACAATAGAACAAGTTGTGAAATCGCAGAATTTTTTGGACACGCGTCAATAGACTTGCGTAGAATTAAAAAATAAAAAAAGAAAAGAATAAGTGACCAGACGGTTCTTCTTATCGATGATCATTTCTCATGGGTACATTTTCTTTGTATTATGTGTTCACACACACGTTAGATTGACAGACTATTTGGCACAGTCTCATTCCTTTTGTGTTTCATCTTTATTCAAGAGTTAATTGTTCTTTCTGAAGTCTAGTCACCGTCACGAGCATGATTGTATACATATTGTGATGTGTGTTCATTGATGGTCAACACACCTTTCATTAAATGTATCGGAAGAACGAACGGCACGTCCTCACATAACTTAACTGGTGTTGCATACTAAAATTTTTATTTGATTGTCTAACTGTCACTAGTAACGCATTTGACCAGCAGCCTGAAGGTGTGATGTAATGATGGATGCCCGCCTGCTAAGATAATGTTACTCGATTAGTCGAACCCTATGTAACTATTATAAAAAGGCAAATGACATTTGAACAGTCACTTTTTCTTCTTCCTTTTTTTTTCTTATACTGTCTGGCTCTAATTTTTTTTTCTTTATTACGAACGCTGATTATCTTTCAAATTTATAACCAGGAAATGCATTGACCCGAACATGACAAGACGGTGCTAGTTTCTTTTCTCTTTTTTTTTTTTGTTTCAATCTTATGGTATACATAGAGCAATATAAAACTATTCACGTCATTGTGAATGACCATTGCAATTAATTAATCATTTTCTCTATGTAATCATCAACGTCATATGTGCGTGCTTATTCTTGTGAGTTATTCCTTTGGATATAGTATGTCATCAGGCCAAAACTGAATGGATATGATCTCACAATATGATATATATGTATATATGTGTGTTCATATCATTCAAAATTAGTTATCAGCAAACAACATATAAGCAGTCAACCCTCACGAACATATCTCATTAGTAATAACACGAAATAGTCGACAGGTGAATGTCTAAAGGTTTATTATCATCGTCATCATAAAACATTAAAAAAATTACTTTAAAAATATTCTTAACCGACATAAGCATCTTAAAAGACCTCTCGGATGAATAATACGGAAATGAAAGAAGAGAAGAAGTATGCAATATAGAACAAAAAAAAAAAGTAGGAAAAGGTGATGAAATGTCCAGACTATCTAACACAAGAAGCAGACAGAATGAAAAGCAATTAGGCGAAAAGAAATTATATGCATGACGTAAAAGTTGAATACATAAAAAAAGAAAAATTGACAAAGAGAGTGAGAGAAAGAAAGTACTTGAACTAAAAAAAAGAACGGATTAAAATATTGCACAAGATAGATCCTAGTTTCATCTCTTCTAATCTTTCAAGAATTGAACATGTAAAAGAAAATTTAATGACATATGATCAAATGTTTTGATTAAGGATAAAACCAAAAAGAAAAAGAAAAAGATGCAAAAGCATAATCTTCTTTTCTCTTATTTACGGTATACTTAAAAAAAAATGAACGAAAATCAAATCTTTTCACACATTAAAATATTTATTTATCTGTGTAATAAAATTTCTATAATTATCAAAATATTGATTTATTTAGCATATACATGCGAATATAATTTGTGATCTAGTTAATCGGTCCGTTTTGTGTCTCTATTGACTTTTTACTATGCCAATCACGTTTTGATGACCTTCGTTTAATCTTTAGAAGAATAAAAACATCGACAAATTATAACAATTGACATTTTTTTGCTCATTTGCACGAGTCTAAATGTCAACATAACGACTATTTACTAAGTGCTAATAAATGATAAATTCCTTTTTTTTTTTTATGAACTCATCTGATTTCTTACACTTATATCTAATAAAATTATGTAGATTTTCATCCCGCCCGAATTTCTATCTATATATGCATTCATTATCTTCAAACGAGCAATACCAATTGAGACAAGAGAGGTGCGACACGCTTACATATATATATACACTTACAGAAAATTGGTGGAACATGTTTCCGCACATTTGAAGCTATATCAAACGATAGCGGCGACAACAGCGGATAGCTAAGAGAGTAATTTCCATATGGAGATTAACTCTACTGTATGAATGTCGCTTCCAAGCTGGTGTGCACAGAGCAATTGGTAGTGATTACGAAACTACTAGTAGTAGGACTAACATATTGTGTTGTTCTTTTATTAATATATTATGTATTACAGTCGTACAATTCACATTACTAATTATATCTATATCGTTATCACACAATGATGTGCAACAACAAAAAAAAAAAAAAGAAAACAAAGAAAAATCATTTGTCAATCATGAAAAAAAAAAGAATGATTTCTTTCTTTTGTATTGCATAAGACAATACATTAAAGAAGAAAGAAATCGACCTCGTACACAACAGGTGGTCAGCATTTTTTTTTTTGATGAAATCATTTACATTTTAAATTGATTTTCTTTTTTTCTTTTTTTTATAAACGAAACAGCTGGGTTCAAAAATGATTATGATGTCATGTGTTGTTTTTTGTCTTTCGAAGCTTTTATAAAGCTACTTGTCAGAGATTTTGTCAAGCTCAGTATATCAATTGGTAAAATATGAAACATAACATTTCATAGTGTTACGATAACAATAGAAGGACGTGTGTCTGCCTTTCAATACATGTATCAAGTTCTATGTCTCTACAGACAATAATTGTCACTTATGAGGTGTGTATATATGTATGTGATACAGACCGATTACGCTTATGAACGCGTCTCGCCATGCTGTTCCTTGGTATATATATAAGCATCAAGTTGTCGAATGTAAAACAACAATAGGAACATTTGTACCTCTTCACTTTTGATAAGAGAAAAGTGCGGCATAGTACCGATCGATTTTCGATAGGGATGAAATGCATCACTTGAGTATAAGTAAACTAAAGGCGTGAATAAAAAAAATGCGAGCACTCACTCAATCGCCATCATCACGAATAGATATTCAATTTCTATTCTCACATTATATATGATGAATAATAACACTTGCATGGCTTTTAGACTGTTCTTTATTTTGTTCGAATAATATTCTCAAGATTGATGATCACTAAATAAAATTTCATGATTATAAAGAACTAAAATCATAAGACATGTTTTTTTCTTCTTCTTTATTTATAAATTTAAATGTACTAATAACAATAACAGAAAAAAAATAATTTAACAATTATACAAAAACGACTGAAAAACAACACAGAAAATGATTGTCAACAAATAAATTCCAATTCTAGGGCCTATAGCATAATAAGGACAATATGGACATTGATATGAACCACATACATCACAAATATCAAGACCAAAAAGTGTACGTAAAGTGTACATTGATCGATTAGCACTCCCTATACAAGAAATAAAATGAAAATCGTATAAAATTTAACTGATCAATAAGAATTTTACATGGTTCATGCCATTCATATGCTTTCATTTCATAATAACGTGTCATATTAGCAACAGGTATAAAACGTTTAAGTTCAAATTGCCAACAAATCGGAGTTGTATCAAACTAAATGAAATATGAATTTTATTCTATAGAGAAATAAATTTCTGATGAATTTTACAAATTCAAAAAGAAAATTAAGTGAATTTGGATAATTTTCAGCATCACGAAGATTTCTTACAATACCAAATCCAACTAGATCTTTAAGAAAACGTTCTTCAATTCGATAACCTGTTGGAATTTCAATAGTAAATATTGACCAACCAGATCGATGAGCTTTTATAGGACCTGGTAACCATCTATTTTTAATTAAAAATTCTAGTAAAAATATATTGTTTCTCATTTCAAATAATTGATTACATACGTAACACATGGTTCATATAATAAATAACTAAAATTATATTTTTGTGATAGATGAACATTTAATGATAAATGAAATGCTTGATATGGAATTGGACGAATAAGTTCAGGAAATTCAACATTGGCCGAAACTGTCATCTATAAAAACATAAATATTTAATTGTTTTTCATATGAACATTTTAAGAATTCGTTAACTATGTAGGATTATTAATTATATCAATCTAAGTATTTTATTTTTATTTATCTTACTTGAATAAGTGTATGTCCTATTCCATATGTATCAATAAAGAGTCTTCCATAAACTGAATTTATGTCATATTTTTGTAGATCAATAATATTTTCATCATTAATTACAAAAGGTTCACCTTTTTGAGCTATATCATTTGTTGGTCGTAAATTTATATGTAAATTATATTGTTGAATTGTAAATCCATGTCGAATAGCATAATAAACAAGAGATTTCAAAGCAAAAAATGAATCATAACTTGAACACCAACCAGCAACAAAATTTCTTCGTGTTTGTAACCAATTTACAATTGTTCTTCCTAATAATGTTTGTGCACGATAGATATATGTTAATAATGCAAAAGATGTTGATGAAATAGCATGTGCTTCTAATTCTGATTCCGATTTTGGTAACAAATGTTCAGTTACAGTTCCATATCCAATTCTATTCGATGGTAAATCAACATTTGACCAATACATACCATCAGCATCTTAGAAGAATAACAAAATTAAAAATTTTCGATAATAAAAATTATAATTTTACTTTTTCGATATCGTTTAATTAACATATTAAAAGCATTATCTTTTTCAGGACTATTGACAATATGTAATGCATATGTTGTTATTGCTAATTCAAATGAATCTTCAATCATCTAAAAAAAAAAAATGTTTTGAAAAAAGAAACAGACTAAATAGATTTTTTTAATAGAAGAAGAAAAAAAAATACTTTTCACATACACGATAATATTTTTCAAGCCAAATTCGACCACGATCAATAGCATCAGTCATATCCTCTTTAATTAATCCATTTATATCTGTATTCATTTTTAATGCAATTAATGCTTGAGCTGTTAATGATAAGTTTAATGGTATATTTGTATCAATCGAATGTAATAGAGACTAAATTTAGAAATATATAAATAAACAAAATCGAAATCATTTTTTTATGAAATTTTTTACTTGAAATTTTTCTCGATCAAGGATATTACTATGTTCTCCCCATGAACCTTCAGGGGTTTGATGTGTTATAATCCATTTGGATGATTTCGCACGTACACGTGGATCTATAAAAAGATTATATTCTTCCCATTCCGCTTGTGCTGCATCTTTTAACGCAATCAATACCCATGATGTTAACCTTAAACAATTGAATTATGATATTAAAAAAATGCACATATTATATTTGTTATTCTTATTTACCATACACTAGTTTCATTTTTCCAACCAAAATTACTAAATGCACCATCATGTATACCCATATCTGATCCATCATCAAAATAAAATGCCATTAAACGATTATATTCTAATAAATAATTCATTTTTTTTGTTCCTCTTCTATAGAATAACTAATGAGTATTACCTATATTAGCAAGATCAAGTAATTGATAAAGTTTATCGTAATCGAAACTTTTTGCACCATGACCTTGTCTCAAATAAATTATATCATAAACCATAGATGAAAAACCGATTAATGCACCTTCAGCAGGTGCAACTGTTTTATAGATAAGATTATCTGATGTAAGTGGTGCATCTTGTCCTGCCCAAAAATATGGTCCAGCAACATCACCTATTAATTCAATAATTACGGAAAGGAAAATTTTTATTTTTATTTTATTGATTTACCTGACATATAAACAGTAGCTGTTGCTGAACCAGGTACATAAATAAAATAATTTTTTAATGGTAATATATAATTTTCTGGTATAATAATATCAAATTCAAGCATTTGTCGAGGTGTATGTTCAAGTGAAAATAATGTTGATGTCGAATAATAATTTATTATTCCTTCGTACTTAATAGAAGCAAAAACAAAAAAATAATTTAATATTCAATTTATATTCAATATAATAAATCATACCACAACAGTGATTGATTGTGTAGAAATATCTCGTTTAACTCCTGTTATACCTTCAATAGTAACATCAATTTTTCCAGCTCTTAATGGTAATATTGGAATATAGATACGTCTTGAACTACTTGGATAAAGCTGAAAATATTGAAAAGTCTTTTGTTTTTTTAAGAATTCAATAAATAAGATTTTTTTTTTTACAATAAGAAGTACATGATGTTGTCCTTGAGATGTTCGTGGTGCAAACGAAGACACTTGTCCATGTTGATCAAGATTAACAAAACGATAATCTGGTGAAGCATGTAATATAATCAAAGCCTAGATAAAGAAAATGTTTATTGAAAATTTTTTTATTTATTTCAAAAGTCGATTGATTAATAACTTCAATACGATGTCTTTGAAAATTAAATACATCAACACGAACACCTATTTGTTCACCAAGTCGAACTGTTGGCGGAATTTCAACAACAATAAAAAATTGTCTTGTACCTTCAAACTAGAAAAATAAAATGAATATTTCAAAAAAAAACAAAAACAAAATAAAATCATTTTACTATAACAACATTAGACAAAACTGAAAGACCGTTTTGTTGACTAATTGAAAATGCTGAAACAATCCAAGTACCAATGACATGAGGAACATCAACAGTTAATTGAGCTCGACCATCTGGATAAGATGAAACAGATTCCCAAGCAAATGACAATGCAAAAAAACGTTCCCAATATGGCCATAAGCGTTTATTAATTGGTGTAAATAATGGTCCGGGTTTTTCAGGACCTACCATAAAAAAAAATTTTGTTTTTTCTTTTTCATTTTAAATACATACAATCAAGTTCATCAGCTCCATCTAAACAATTAAAAACTCCATCACATTTTTCACTAATTGTATAACATGATCCATCATTACAAGTAAATCGATTTCCTAATTCCATACAAAATTTTTCTTCTTCTTCTTCATTAATAACGATTTCTATATCAGTTAATAGAAAAAGACCAGCTGAACGAAATGCTCGATATGCATTAGCGGCAATCGATTGTCCTACACGATAAACTTTTTCTGATGGTGTTAAAAAATTCGAATACCATGTTATATTTGGACTTGGATGAGCAGCTATATCATATTCATATAATTCATTATAAATCTATTGATGATCGAATAAAGTTTTATTAGATTTATTTCAATGTATTTAGATAAGAATTGACAAACAATAAGACTTGTAACTGTTTAATCTAATCATATCTTCGAAAAAATTTATGCATGACATTGAGTTATAGTTTTCCTTTGATCATACTTTAACCATTCATCAGTATTAACTCAATTTGGGATGAAAAGAAACAAGGACAAGATATATTCATTGTCTTTTTCTCTATAAAAAATCATTCAATTTCAACTAAGAATTTAGAAACCTATCTAAATAGCGGTAAGATCGTTCCGTTATCATTTCTGTCAGCATCGGGAACAACTTTTTGTTTTGACCGAGACCCACTATCTTTCTTGGTTGAAATCGGAGGAAAATCCAAGTTTTTAGCTAGAACCAGGATCAGATCCAACACTTTCATGAGGAACAATACTTTTTATAGTCTTGTAAAACTTGCGTCGAATATCACGTTGTCATGACAAATATTTTTTATACAATCATGAGAAGGTGATCCCGATTCTAGTCGAGTCGAAACCAAAAAACGATTAGTCTCGGTTATTTCTAAGAATAGTTGTTAATATAATAAAATTTTGATTACATACATCCATTTCAAGTAGATCATTTCCACCATATAATTGATATTGAGCATATTCAGTTCCGGCAAATGCAACTCTTGCTTGTGCAGGTCCATAAGCAAGTAATTCAACTGTTTCACCAGTTAAATCTTTTCTTTGATTTATTGTTAAATTAAGTACAACAGTATCCGATGTAATAATAACATGAAAATGATTAACATCAGCTACAAGTTCACCTGTAACATCGATAAAGTAGGCAAGAATATGTGCTGATGGAGCCATACGACGTGTTACAGCAACATAAAATGTTTGTTGACGTAATCCACGCATTTGAATTGTATCTGTATAAACAATACGACTTGCTGAAATGATCTAATCAAAGACGAAAAAAAAAAAAACTAGATTTTAAAAATTTCAGTACGAAAATTTACATGATAATGAACTTGTTCACAATAACGACTAACATTAACTGTAAAAATCATATAATTATCTATCTAAAAACAAAAATCATTAAATATGAATATTTTTTATTAAGAAAATAAATTGAATTTATATTATACTCGAGGTTCTAATGTACTTGTTGTAATTTGAATGTATGATTGACTTGGTGATCGATAACGAACAGAACGTTGTTCAATAAATGCTGTTTGAATAAATTCATTATTAACAAATAATTCAGCCTAAATAACAAAAAAAGATAATTTATAAATAATCGAAATCCAAAAACGAAAAAAACAAAAGAACATAATAGATTTTACTCGAATAGACATATACATTGTTTGATTTTGATTTGGAATAATAAACTCATGTCGTACAATAGAATCATCAGGTATTGGATAATCAATTGAAGCAGGTGATAAACCAGTATCAAAATTAGTTTGTATACGTACATAAGTCGTATTACGATCAAAATTAGCAGCTTGAAATCGACTTTGATCACCATTAAGTACAGCAATCTTCAAAACAAAAACAATATAAAAAATAATTTAATTCATTGAAGTTATCTTACATTAGCAGTATACGACATTGAAGGTTTAAATACACCTGATTGTCTATTAAGAAATTTAATACGATATTCTGTTTTATAAAATGATGTAAGAAAAGATGAATTTGTTGTTTCATTCCATATTGGATCATATATAGTTGCGGTAAATATTAGTTCACGATTTGTTAAATCACCAAATTCTTGACTTGCTTCTGACATTGGTATAATAAAATCCGCACGACCATCAAACTATTACACGATTCAAAATAAAAAAGGACACTGTCAGTTTTTGAATAACTTTTAATGAGAATAAAATAGAGATCTGCTGTTTTCACTATTTAAGAAAGACGATACAAGGAGCTAACGACATACATCGAAATTCGATCGGTTAGAAATTGACACATAAGGTGAGTTTTTTTGATAGAGATTCTCGAAAATAATATTCTGAAACTGTTTCCTTTTTGATTTAGACTTTTAATAAAACTAATCGATAAGAAATTTCTTTTCTTTCGATCCACATAAGATCAATATTTCTCGCATGTTCCGTTCGATAGCGATAAGGCTTTTCCTTGGACTTCGGCTATCAGTCATTTGACCTGTGACCATCAGAAAAAATGTCTAGGCTGCGGTAATTCATCATGTTGAGTCGAACGATGATATTTGTTTTTAGCTTCGAAATTATTTGACATTCTTATCTTAATATTTTCCGAAAAGCGACTCCTAGATAGTATCGAGTCTTATTGTGGAATTTCAAGAATATTGATATAATAGAGTCAGATCAATTTGACCCTAAGAGCAAATATTAGTATTCAATTCACCACAGTATATAGCTCTTATCTAGCTGCTTTTCTGACGATCACAGGTCAAACGGTGGAAATCAAAGCTTTCAGGTAAAGGTTCATAATTTTCTCGAACGAAACATCTTAGAAATGTTTGCTTTGTGCCAATAGAAAGGAAAGAATTTTTTCTATCGATTAGTTTTATTAATATTATAAATTAGTAGGAAAATAGTTTCAGAATAGTGTTTTTAAAAGTTTCCATCAAGAACTCACTTAATGGATCGATTACTGAGTAATCAAATTTCGATATACTTTTATGACGTCGAGTTTTCTTCCTTGAATAGTGAACATCGTAGATCTTTATCTTGTTTCTATCAAAATTTGTTCAAAATATCCATTTTTACTTATCTGTCATAACTTACTGGTTTATAATCATAATCCAGTTTTGGTCCTGGTGCATCCGGTACTGGAATAATATTTACTGCTGGTTCAAAACTGTCATCCATATTTTTTAAACGTACTGTTAATCTCATTAAACCTTGAACGCCACGTCCAGTTGTATAACTAAATCAAACAGCACATAATATCTTTTTTTTTAAGAGGCATTGTCAATATATACCAACAGAAGAAAATTATTTAACACAGCAGAAATGATTTCCCATCCCCCCCCCTCACAAAATCAAGCAGAAATGTCTTCTTAATGTTATCATAGTTTATCTATCAAATCTTACTCTATAATTTATTAGATAGAAAATAAAAACATCTAATATTGACTACATAATCAACACTCTAAACTGAAAATTCAGCTTTGCTTGGACAAATTTTGAATTCAACTGCAGATAACTTCATACAATAAAACAATTAAAATCTGAATACAATACCTATACCTTTTATTCAACAACATCTTTTTATTTCACTTAACCATTTAAAATACAAAAAATTTTAACCTATTCACCTAGATTTGTATAATCACCTCGCTTTGAATGACATTTTGTCAAATAACTAAACTTTTATTGGTTTTTACACGAACATTGTTTTGTAGCACATTTGGCTATAAAAATTTCGTGCGTGATCATTTGCAATGATGAGCACGGCAAAGGTTTTTATAGTTCAAATCAGATCAAAAGTTACTATTTATTCTCTTTTAGCCACTTCTAAGTAGAACTTTTTTTGTCATGTACTTCACATGTATCAACTTCAAAATATGCCCATGTCACATAGATTTCTGTCCCAAGATTATCAAATATTTCATGAAAATGAAAAAGAAAGTTAGACTAGGTTCTTCTTATCTCCAATACATGAAAGTATTTCTATTTCTTTGTTTCTATTCTAATAATTAGTTCTAATTTCGTGACTTAATCTTGCCCATCTCTGATCAATTGTTGAATTTGATTCAAATATCTTTTACATTAGACTCTTATGCATATATCTATATTTAAACCACTCATTGACAGGTTCGCTACGATTACAGTTTTCTCTCTTCCAGTTCGAACTAACGATTATCTAGTCAATATTAGAATTCTAGGTTTGCTTATGACATGTTTAAAGTCTTTTGTTTTATTTCTTTTTGTTATGTATAAATTTATGTACAGTGAAGCATTTTCTTCATCAACGAATACTATTTTCTACATTAAATTGTTCTATTGTATATTACAATATTTGAAATAAAAAATTAACATACTTTGCTGTAACAATTCCATTAATAGCTGGTGATTCCATATTAATAAAAAATGGTAATGATACATTAACTTCAATTTTTTTCTGTACTATATAGAATAGAGAAAAAGAAAATATTAAATAATAATAATAAAAATAATTATTCTTACAAAAAAAATCAACTAAAAATGTTTTTTCTGCTGCTGATTGTTGAGCTTCACAACGAATTTTATATGTACCAAAAGCAATAAATGACGCAAATTTATATTCTAATTCAACATATCCTTCAAAGAAAAAAAAAATAAATAAATAAATAATTAATAAATTATTTTTTGATCTTAAAAAAAATAAAATAAAATAAACCCCATGTTGTTTGTAAATTAAGCCAACGTCTTAAAATATTATTCATTGGACCCTAAAATTAAATCTTATACATAAGTATTTAATCTTTTTCATCTTTTACTTACTATAACATAAACATTAACTGTACTAAAATAGCCACGTAAATCTGAATAAACTGGAATACATCGAAATCTAACTATAAATACATAGAATTTTATTTTTATTAATAGTTTTCTTTTATATTTTACCTAGTTGATCATGTCTATACATTGGTTTTTCTAATTGAATAAATATTGATAGAGATTTTGCATGAAAAATTACATTTGTTTCATTATAAAATACAACATCACCATCTGGTAATGTTCCTCGAACATAGATTGTATAAGAACCATTCGGTGCATTTTGTGGTACTTGAAATATAATTGCCGTTGGAATTTGTGGTATTAAACGTTCTTCATTTGATGCTATTTCATCATTTTGATTGAATAATGAAACAGCAACATTTGTTGATGTCCATTGATCATTTAAAATTGTTACCCAAACAGAAACAATATCTGAAGGACGAACTAATTTAGGACCAACAATCATATAATTTCTGAATAAACAAAAATGATCGATTTAAAAATAAAAATAAAAAACAAAGTAAATGATACATACGATTCAAGTTTACGATGAGCATTTGTTGAAAGTATTCGTCGTGGTTCATATTTATGTAATGATGGTTGAATACCATCAGCAAAAGGAGATTGTCGACGTAAACGATTAATTTGATTTGAATTTATCGAGACTATACGAAGACTTATACATAATAAAAGATATTTGAGCATCTAAATGTTTAAAAAAATAAATTAATAATTCGATTAGTAGTTTTTTTTCTTTTCAGCATGATCTAGATTTTTATTATATATATAATATTTGGATTACTAGTCACTTAACTTTGATGAAAGATGGTCAGGTACACAATAACTATATTGAAGTATGTAAAATCTCTTATCTCAATAGCCATTGTATTCCACATAAGAACAGCAAAAAAAAGAAATTGTCGATTATGCGAATTGATTTATGTTCGAGAAGATAAAAAGCTTTCTTTATATGATCTGTATGACTAACAGTCAGTTTAGAAGAAAAATCAATGAGCATTAGTTATCAGAAAATTTTATTGTTGATTATTCTTTCTTTCATATGAAAGACAAAAGAAATAAAAGCGCAAGTTTTTGTTTATGATTGACTTTGTAATTGAAAAAAAAAAAATCTTTATCAGTCTTAAACGTACGTTGTATTAAAGCTAGACAATAAAAAAAAACAAGAATACTGTTTGAATGATATTTTTTAAGAAAACAAAACGATAGAAAAGTTAGTACATATCTATTGTGACTTTCACTATAAAGAATGCTTATTTTCAAGTAAATAATCATTTCGCATATCTTTTATTTTCTTTATACTTATAACAAAAATGTATAAATATGTTCGTGCAAAGAGAGAGAGAGTATATAAGGATTAGAATATTGTCAAGAATGACGAACAACATATCACGTACACTATAGTATTGTCTATTAGAAGGCTATAGGAATCAATTTGTTATTTAATTTTGTTATTCATCTAATATGAATTATTGTTCATAAATCACAATTTTTTCTTTTAAAACATAGTGCATCGATTATCTGACATGATAAAACAGAATTAATAAAAAACAGATGTACAGATATCTATAGAAGTATTCAATGTGTTTTATTCAACATCTTTTGTTCAATTCTTATATTCGGTGCAAAATCATTTATTGTGTCCGTGAATGACTTTACATTGATATGTTTACATAAGAATAATGAGTAATTCTTTTTCTTTCGCCATATCCATTAGCTTGATGTGCTCAAAATACATTAATCAGCATCATTAAAATTAGTGATTTTAAATATTTTGATTTAAAACTCGTGTGATAGACTTTTTTTATTTGTTGGACATGATGTTTTTTTCCGAAAATTTCCAATGATTTTTCGTCATGATTGTCCTCTTAACAAATGTGCTTATCTTAGAATTAATGGAGCAATTTTTTAATGCACTTCTATAAATAGATGACCATTTTTTTAGAGAGTTTTTCGAGGTACTTAATTTGTTATCTTTTTCCTTCAAATAAAAGGTAAGAATTAAAAAAACGAGTGCTGCAGTCTGACATGTTCTTTCAAAAAAAATCAAATAAAATTGAATGAGGAGCCACAGAGAATTTCAAATTCTCCAATAAAATGTTTTGGAGAATTGCTTGATGAATGCCACCCGAAAACATCATGGTATAAGGCTGAAAATCTCATGCAATTGTAAGAAGATAAGCCTTCCGAAGATTCGCTTTTTGAGATTTCTACTGAAGAAAGGCTTATCGCAAATATGTAAGAATCTCAGAATAGATAGATCTCGATGAGCACAGCAAAAATTGTCATAGGCTTTCAATTTCCAAATGGTCTCTTCTAGAAAATATCTCAATTGCAAAGGCTAAAACTTCTTCTACTTTGTTATCCACAATGAATTCAATAGAGTTCGAGTTTTTTGTACAGATCATAAACAGTGTTAGAGATGCCTACGTGTTTTTGATTCTTTTGATCTCCTTGCATTTGAATAGAAAGATCAAAATACGGAGCACATTTCCAAAAATCAACGATGTAATGTTTTTCAAAAAAGCAAATGTAAAAAATAGTTTTAGCTTGATAGAACGTACTAGTTCGAAGGAAATGGGACGATTCTGCATTTTTTATATAAAAGACTAATTTCGAGAAAAACGAAAAATAAATTTCTCTATCCGTTTCAGAACTTTTTTTCAACTAAAACAATCGACAACTAGACATGTTCAGCAGTGCTAGAGATCTATGACCCATGCTCTCAGAACCTTTAGAACTTATTATTAGGAAAAGTCTGCATACAACGAATAATTGTAGAACAAGGTTTTCTGCTAAGAAGAATTATATTGAATAAATGTACTAACTAAAAACAGAGAACTGTCATTTTATATAGCATTTTACATAGAACATTTGGAAGTTATATTGGCGATGAAAAACGAAAAATCGAAAAAATTTTGATTTTAATTTCCAGAAACGAAAGAAAAGATCTTCTTAATTTATTTGCCGTATTCAGGTCACAGATGTATCCTAGATGAATAATGAGAAGGAACAAATAAAAAGAAAAAATTGGTCTTGTATATTCTCTTATGACATATACCAATCAACGAAGAATAATAGATTCCTTCTTTTATCCATATTGTCGTTCTCATAATATTGTGCAATAAATAGAGAAAGAACACAAGAAAGAAGAAGAATAGAAGATAATAGTTATCCAAGGCTTCAATACATGTAGAATATCATCATTTGTCGTTTACTGTCATAACATGAAACTACCAATATTTCTTCTTATTATTTTTCTTCGCTATGTATTTGGTATTGTAAATATGATTATCGGTATTCAACAGCCATGTGAATCTATTATCGATTGCCTTTCATATAATGATTCAAATACTGTTTGTTATGAAGGTTATTGTGCTCCATGTCGTAATTCAAGTGAATCATGTTCAAGTTCATCTCATTGTTGTAGTGCTTCACGTTGTTATCGTCGTCGATGTACAGCACTTTATAAAACTGGACACTCATGTCGTCTTAATCGACATTGTTTTGATCCTAATGATTTTTGTATAAACCGAATATGTACAAAATGTATACGACTTTGGGCGCCATGTTCATCAGATCCTTTGGCAACACCTTGTTGTGTAGGTGAGAGTGTATGTCGATCTGGTACATGTCAACCAGCACGTACTCATTCACAAACTTGTTTAAGTACATTTGATTGTGCTAATGAACTTGTTTGTCTTTCTGGTACATGTCAAAATCCTTTAGGATATTGTTAAAAACAAAACATATAAAAATGACATCTTATTTTTGGTAGTGTATTTTTTTTTTTCATTTCTATTATTGTAAAACAAGTAATGAATAAATATAAAACTATGCAGATAGAATTTATATTTTTATTTTTATTTTTTGAGAATTATAGAAAAGAAATAATATGTAATTAATAACAAAGAAACAATGTTCTTATTGTTAAAATAATTGAAAATTTTGTACGATGTTAGTAAAAGAAATATAAATACTTTAAAATTAATATTTTAAAAGTTATTTAACAATAGTAAATTTTAAGCAAAATTAAACACATGTAGAATTTTGAAGGATTATATAATCAATGTTCTTGACCTAGATTCTGGCTTTTTTTTGATCGATTAATTAAGATTCTGTTAACTCAATAGAAAATAAACAAGACTTATGAAGTTCAATGGAAAAAAAGATTCTTGTCTGATTGATTAAGAAAATCAAAATCGGGAAAAACATCAAGATATCGTAATGTTCAAAGAAGCACTTTTTAGCAAGAAAGAAAATATATTCTTGCTTGTTCTTCAAGACTAATATCACGTGATGTTTATGTATATTTGTACATATATCACAAATCAACACAATATTCTTGCTTCTGTTCTTTCCAGATTCTGTGTTTGTTTGATGTCTTGAAAAGGATTCTTCTTCATTATGAAGTCTAACTAAGATTCTTTATATTGATAATAGAGCATGAGAAAGAATCTTGCCAATATTGAAAGATAAATAGTCAGTCATCTCTTGCTTCTTATGCGTCTAAATAAATTGCTTGCACGTGCTTTTTCATTCTTCATTTCAACATTATTTCTTAAGTTTTTTATGATCTATTCGATGAGCATTCGATTATGATGGCTGTAAACTTTGGCTTCTCTTTTTTTTCTTATCATTTTTATAGATGATTCAATTTTTTCATTGTATTATTATTCTGTTCATTTTTATTAATCCTTGTCATTCCTGAATAAAAAAAAAAAACTTCAATAAAATAGTAGTCAACACAAAATTATAACAGATCCGTACTAATCATGAGAATAAAGTGTAAGAATCTTGTTAGAGTATTCAAGACATTGTTCTATTCTGTTATTAAAATAAAGTTACACTTGATTTCTAAGAGCTGATCAGATAAGAATCTTAACGGAGCTAATAGTTATTATTATGTTCAGGTTCATGAACAAATGATATTTTTTTCTGAAAATGCATGAATTATATGTCAAGATAAACGTATTTATTCATTTATCAATGAGTTGAAGTATAATTGATTATAACATTTTTAAAAACAATGTTATCAAAACAGAGAATTTAACAACAGATCAATCATGATCAATTTCAGATGATGATGATTATTAGAAAAACAAATTGGAATAAAATATATGTATTTTTCATAAAAATATATGAGAAAGTGTATGCAATTTTCTTATAGTTATTGTATTTAAATGTTTTCTTTTTTACTGTCAGTTACAAATAATCTTGTTCATGTATGACAAGGACTGCACATAAATCACAAAAGTCATACATGTATGTACGAAAACAAAACAGAATCTCCTAGGACGATTGTTCCGATCATCTGAAGCAACGTCTTAGAAGTTTATAAATGGGCGTATTACGGCATTGATTTTTACGGTATTTAGTCGTAATTCATAATAACGTTTCTTTTGCTAGCAAATAATCATCGTTTCTCCTACTACTTTCAGTGTTTTACTAGCTTACGAAAAATAGCGGCGTAATAACCTTGACTTTTAATATTGTATATCGTTCATGGCACCGTCTTCTTGAATCTAGGCTGGAAAGAATACGTCGAAGAACGCTTATCAATGTAAATTTGTCTTGTTTATTACCAAAAAGACATTTTTCAATTAAGATTACTGAATGAATTAATAGGTGAACGTCAATTACTTAGAGTGTACCAAAAAAAATGGACAAAAATAAGGTATTCTAGA